CATAATATAACAAAATATTTTTATATTTTTAAATTAAAAAAACTTAAGCATTTTAAAGGTAATTTAACAATTATTAAATTAATAAAAATAACTTTTAAATATAATCTTAAATTAACTATTTAAATAAAAATATTAAAAAAAAAAAATTAACGTTAAAATAATAAAAAAAAAATAATTAATTAAACCGTTAAATAATAAATTTATAAATTAACGTTTTTTTTATTATATTAATATTAAACATTTTATTTAATATAAATTAATACTTTTTAAAAAACTTAATAATATTAAATTTAAAAATTATTATATACGTATTTAATTAAATTTTTTAATTTTTTAATTTTAAAACTATACTTTTAAACAATTGTATAATTATTGGAAAAAAAAAAGTTAAAATAATAAGTTACAATAACGTTAATATATATACCATATATTAAAAAAAACATATATAAATACAATTAAAAAACGTTATTTATTATAAAAACTTTATTTATAATCTCGTATTATTAAAACTATTAAAAAGATAAAATTATTAGTAAAATAATTAATATAAACTTATTTATTTAAAACATTTAAACAATGTTATTATTATTAAATTTATTAATTATTACGATTAATTTATCTTTAAAAATATACTTTATAAAATTTTTAAAATTATTTTTTATATACGTTATAACAATTTAAATTTAAGATTTATAAAATTACCAAATATAACCGACGTTTTAAAGTAATATTATAAATTAAACCATTTAAGTTTTTAAACCTTAAAACATTTTATTAACGTTAATAAAAAAATGCGTATTAAAAGATTTATTACCGTTAAATATAAAATATATGGAATAATAAAAATTAAACAATAAATAAAACGTATATTATAACGTATTAATAAATTTTTTAATGTAAAATTAATATTAAATTTTTATTTTTTAAAAGTATTTAATAACAATATTACAAATTTAATATTAATTATAAACTGTTAAATTAAAATAATTTTCGACTATTATTTAAATAATAAAAAGTTTAAAATAATAATTATAATATTTAAAAACTTTATAAAATTATTAAAAATTTAATATAACATAATATTATATATATGGGAATTAAATTAAAAAATTATTTAAATTAAACCAATAATTAAAAATTTTCTCGAAAATTAATATATAAAAATAAAACCTTTAATAAGTTATATTTAAATATAAAACGGTACCGCCAAGTGTTTAAAAAATGTAATAAAAGATAAAACACGCGTAATAAAAACGCATATAAAATTATTTTATTTTTTATGGTTTAAAATTTATAAAATTATTGTATATTTATACAATCGTATACTTTAATATAAACACAATTAACATATACCATATAACCATTTTTACACTTTTATAACAATAAATAACAGGATTATAACTTAAAAAAAAAAACTTTAATAAACCTATTTAAAAATATACGGTTATAAAATTTATGTTTTAATAATTAATATTTTAAAAAAAATTAATAAAAAACAACAATTAAATTTAAAAATTTAAATAAATTATTTTATAAATTACGTTTTAATAAATATTTATAAAATATAAAATCTTTATATTAATAAAATAATAAAAATTCAAAACGTTATTTTTAATAAAAATAATTTATTTAATAAAAATTTTAAAAAGTTAAAAAAAAATTATATAATGATTTTATATATATAAATGTTAAATAATATTAAATTTTATTATAATTTATTTAAAATTTTTAATTAAAAATTAATTTAATTATAAATAATAATATAAATAATAATAAATTTAAATAAATTAAAAATGTAAATATATTAACGTTAAATTTAAAAATACAAATAAATAATACGTTAAAAAAACTTAAAGTAATAAACGTATTATTAAAAATTAATTACTTTTATACAATTATAAAATTTACCTTTTTATTAATTTTAAATATGTTACCATTAATAGCTTTATTTATAATAATAATATAAATTAAAATATTAATTAATTTTAATACTTTATTTAATACAAAAATCCCATAAGTTAAAACTTAATAAACTGCGTTTAACGTAAATAAATTAAAAGGTTAAATTAAAACATATAAAAGTTAAACAATTAATAAAATAGCAAAAATTTAATTCTTTTATAAATTACTTTAATATAATTTAATTACTTAAATAAAATAATTTAAAATTAATTATTAATAAGTAAATAAATTTAAAAAAATATATCGGAAAAATCTTTTAAAATTTTTTAAAAAGTACAATAACCTTAAAAATCACCTATATAAAGTAATATTTAAAAAAGCAAAAAAAATACATTTAAAAAATTACCGTTAAATAAAAATATAAAAAAAAATCTTAAAAATTAACTTAAAATATTATAAACAATAAATCTTTAATTATATATAAATATATGTATATAAATTTAATAAATACGGATATTTACAAAAATATAAAATAAAACTAATAATTAAAAATAATTAATAAGTTTTAAACATTAAAAAAACGTACGTTTTAACATTAATAAAAAGGTTTTTTAAAATCTTAATGGTAATAATTGTAAGATTTAACTTTAAATTAATATAATACGATATAATAAACGTTTTTATTAACGTTAAACTTAAAAAAAACGTATTTATAAAAATGTTTTAAAGTTATTAACAATTAAACAATATATTAAAGTTAATTAAAACATTATATAATTTAAAAAAATTACCTTTATTTTAATAATAAAAGTTTATAATAACGTTAAAAAACTTAAGTTTTAAACTAATATTTTAAAAACTGTATATATTTATAAATAATAAAATATTATTATTTATTTACGTTAACAATATAATAATTATATATTTTAAATTAAAAGAATTACGGATAAATTAATTTACGTAAAGTTTAAAACAACAGTATTAACTTATTAAAAGTAATAAATTATAATAATTTTTAAACATTAAAATAATAAAAAATTGTAAAAAACAATTAATTTAATTAAATTAATCCTCGTATATCGATAAAATAATTAACTTTATAAAACTTTTAATATAAATCTTTATAATATTAATAATAAAAGAAAAATTACTACCATATAATAAAATAATTTTAAAAAAGTTTAACTGTTATTATTAATAAAAAATAAAGTTTATTTTATACGTAACGGTGATTACACGTTTTAACATTACTTTTACAACTTTAAAATTGTCGAAATTTAATAATAATTTTAACTTAAAATATTATAAAACAATTAATTATATATTATATTACTTTAAACACACATAAACGTACGCATTATAATTAAATAATAATAATTTTTTTAAAGTTATTAATAATGTTTTATTTGCTAATAATACCAACAATCGAAAAAACTTTTAAACATACGTAATAAAATTATTTAAAAGTATAATAAATTAAAAAACGAATAAATAAAATATAATAATTATATTTACAATAAAAACCAAATTATTAACGTTATTATAAACGGTAAAAAAGATTATATTTATTATATAATTAATTTAAAATTTTAAAATTAATTTAAATTAATTTATAATCGTAATTAATTGTAATAATAAATAAATAATTAAATTAATTAATAAAGATATTAAAAAGTTAAAAATAAAGTTTAAACACGTTAATATATACAATCATTAATTATAATAAAAAATTAAAAAAAATTATATAAAAGTAAATTACGTTAAATTAAAAAATATAATTATAAATAAATTTATAAAAACATTATTTAAAAAATTATACGAAAAATTTAAAAATCAAATAAAATTAACAAATATTACGGAATAATTATAAATAAAAAAACTATAAAAATTAAATAAAAAAATAACTTTAAAGTAAAAAATGTATGTTAACGAAAATTAAAAGTATATAAAGTATTAAAAAAAATAAAATCAAATTGTTAATAATTTAAAAAATAAAGTTATTTAAATTAAATTAATTTTACGGTTACATTTAAAAAAATATATTAAATTAATTAATTTTATTAAATAATTTAAAATCTTTAATTTCCTTATAATTACCCGCATTTCACGCGTTTTTACAATCTTAACAATAAACAATTAAATCATTAATAATTATATCAATATTGCTTTAATCATTACTTAATTGTACATATCAGCTATTTGATATATATCTTTAACATTACTATTACCATATTAAACATAGTGCCACCGACTTTTTCGATTTTGGCACAAATGTCTTAACCGTCCACCATAAGGGGTAAGGACCATTAAACGCTGTGGTGTTACGTCTAGCCAATCATATTAACAGCCAGCCGAATGGAATGTCCTATGATTGGTTATACACAACCAACATGTCTCTGATACTGCGGCCCTTCCCACGGCCCCATGGTTCTTGAGACCTTTTTTCTTTTTCAAAGGAACTACGGAGTTCAACAATCAGCCTCGCTAAAAATATAGGACGATAACTGCGGCATGATCTAATGTATGAAGTCCAAGTTGTCGATATTATTCGCTGTAACTCATTGTCGGGCTTATCTAAGGCCTTCTAAATTCTAGGGTATGAGGCTATACGTGGTCACTCTCTAGTTAGGAGTAACCTGCTTTAACCGTAAGGGAGGGCACATACTTTCGACGTTCCATACTAGCTGCACCAAGTCCACCCATGGGGCTATGCCATGTTGCACCACTAGAAGAGTTATGCCCCGCGCCCGCGATTCATCGCATTCTATGCAAGGCAATGCTACTCTATTCGGGGATTGAAATCTTATGTACTCTTATGTACTTTGTAATACCTACCCCGGGTAGTGTAGGAGTATGCAGGTAGCAGAAAAGGCATGAGTCGATATGAGACTGGGTGGTAAAAATCGAGAGGGAGCCAACCATCTAGGTCATCTAGGTAGGCTACCTTGGGAGGTATAAGAATATGTATAAGAATATGGTTTGAGGTTCTTTCATGAACTCATAATATGAACCAGAAAGTAGCTTCACTCATAGACTACTACCTTATACTCAAAATCAAAAATTCACAATTGCTCTCTGATTGGCAATATTTTCCAGCCATGTATTATCGTGGTGGTTCTCTCTTTGACGACTCATACCCCTCATCCATTTCCCAGAAATGGGATCCAGAGGTTGTACTGGGGATTCCCAACTACCCTCCTTACTCCATGACCTGTATTGGTACCACCAAGACAGGTCGAAGATGCCGAAGACATATTGCTTACCACAAAGTCAACTATGCAGTAAATGTTATCAATGGGTTGGCTAGTAAGCCCACTTTTGAAGCTGCGAAATCACCGGAACTCCGCAAAGCAGCAGATATATTGTTATGCTGGCAACATAACTACGAAGTTTCAAATATACTCCTTCAATGGCGGTCCAGCCTGAACGATTGGGCTGGCGAGCATGGCGATACATCCTCGTCTACTACAGACACCGAGTCGAATGCAGATACTTGGCGCCCCAAAAATACACCTAAAGACGAACCTTATGTGAAGAAAGAACCTGAAGATATCCTATATCAAACACTGAGGGAGTATATGAGAAGAGAGAAAGAAATGATCGATCATATCAATACAATGCGCCGGCAAATTGAAGAGGAGCAGAGAAGAAAGGATGAGGAGAGAAGAAAAGAAGAAGAGAGAAGAAAAGAAGAAGAGAGAAGAAAAGAAGAAGAGAGAAGGACAGAAGAAGAGAGAAGGAAAGAAGAAGAACAGAGAAGGAAAGAAGAAGAACAGAGAAGGAAAGAAGAAGAACAGAGAAGGAAAGAAGAAGAACAGAAAAGGAGAGAAGAAGAGGAGAGGAGGAGAGAAGAAGAGAAGAGGAGGAAGGAAGAAGAGAAAAGGAAAGAAGAACATAGAAGGAAAGAAGAACATAGAAGGAAAGAAGAACATAGAAGAAAAGAAGAGCAAAGAAGAAAAGAGGAAGAAGCCCGCGAAAAGGCGTTCCGCGAGCGAGTACGTCTTTCCAAGGAGAAGAGAGAGCGGGAGGCCAGAGAGCAGGCAGAAAAGGAGGTCGAAGAATGGCGCTCTGCATGGGATTGCTATTCCAAAGGATGGAACAGCAGCATTGATACGGTTCCAAGAAGCATCCCCTGGCCAGTGAAGTCAGGGCGACTATCTGACGTCAATGAAGCTAACGTGAAGATGTTCTTCGCCAAAGCACCACCACAGTCATTGGTGAGTTCGGGCGAGAAACGCTTCAAGCTCCTAAACGCAGAAAATAAGAGATGGCACACAGATAAAGTACTGCAACGCTTTGGCCCAGACGTAGTGTACGGTCATGCGAGGTTTGCCCTGAACACCATTGCAAAAATTATGATCGAGTTGAGGCAAGAGGCTCGGAGGAATCGGTAGATCGAAGAGTATTGTATTGATATGGTGATTTCCCACAACAAGCTATGTTTTTTCACTTCATTTTTTCATTTCATGTATAGTAGGCCGTACGTGCGTGACTAGTATCTGCAGCTTGTACATTAATACCTATTAACTATCATATTGATATATTCTTCTCAGCTTCGACATATGGCCCGAAGTGACTCTAGTGACTCTGTAACTCGGACTCTCGGAGGAATATAGACTCTCAGAGTACTAGATAAACAAACGTACTACTAGCTTTACGAAAATGCCAGAAAATATGAGACTGCGGATATTGATACTTTCTTTTTATAGAAGACCACCGTTGCTGTTGCGGGCTGAGGAGGCTCTAATAAAACCAGGGGCTAAATATACTGACAGACATATATTTCTAAACTCGTAATTTTGAATTCTATCTGATCTTTGATTAGAAATTCCTTGTCTTATATTTTTTCCAAGTGAAATTAGTTATATTCAACAACGATACGGAATATTCCAAGGCAAACAGATTGAAGTTTTGGTTACGGCTCTAGAACGAAGAAACTTCCTATGTGCATACGTAGATCACTGACTACCTAAGCGTATTAAATGCATAAATATTAGATACATATCTACCTTATATGCATTCATTAGGGTAGAGGAACCAAATTTCCCCAGGATTCCAATTTCGAAGAACCAAACAATTACAACGTTTGTGAACGGATATGAATCCACTAATTAATCAACTTGCCGGCTTCCAATCTACCAATGTCAAACGCGAAGGAATCGGGTTCAGACCCGCCCTAACACAAGAATATGGCAATGGCATGGTGACTACTCGAGTCCTAATGCCTAATGGTTAGCCAGGATGATCATTCGGTGTTATAAAAAAGATTGCTAAAGATTGTTACCTTGCTACGTCTTAGTAGCCACGCGAACACCAATTGCGCGAGAACGTCAAATGCAATGCTGTGCTACTGCAGAATATCGCCCATAATCGCCCTGAAATGGGTTAAGTGACACGATTATTGCAGAGAAAAAGCCAATTACCTATCTCAGCAGTGCGACTCATGTTTTCCGACCACGACGAAGACCACGACGAAGGCCAGCTCATACAACTACACCGAGTAAGACAATCATTCGCGACTTGCGGTTTAGCATTGGTTCCTTGCCCAGCCTCGTAGTGTTACCGTTGCTGTCCCACGGTAGAGAGCGTATGGGAAACCTACCTAGGGCTACTAAACTACCGGTAACTTACCGCACGATTCGGGATGAAGAATTTCCTGTAGAGCCAAGCCGGCAATGGTGTTTTCAGTCAATACACCGGGACATAACGCTAAGCCATAAGACCATAGGCCATACTGCTTTTAATATGCAGCATGCAACTAATTAGCTGGCTTTGATCTAAGGGGGGAACGGCAAGGCGGCAAGGCGGCCGGGCTAGTTGTAGTTCGACGGGTTGAGGTCCAATGTGGATTTGTGGAGAAACAAAAGTCGACGGGCTGTTCCAAAAGCAAGTTTTGCTACAGGAATCGCAGGAATCACAATTCTTCTTTTCATCTTACTGGACGCCTACAGATACAGCACGCAGATCTTCCCATGCAGACACGAGCTTACCTTTCTGACTCTAGCTGTTGCTGGTGCAACTAGAAACCTCGGTAACACTATGATGACGGCGATAAAATATCATCCCATCGCTTATACCCAAAGTGAGCCTGCAATCTCGATCTTAAAGACTAGGATTATGGAAATGCTCCGGGCATCACCGCAGGCGTACCTGTTAAGCCGCCATCCCCGCCTTCTGTAGGTGTAAGACGTCTACAATCCGCTTTCTAGTGTGCGCTATCGCTTGATAAGTCCGCATAGATATGTGCTACTAGAACAATAATGCTTCACGACTAGCTGCCTCATATCGGAATAAGATAGATGTGTTCGAGATGGAATACACAGGCACACAATCCTACCGGCTGGGTCATGCAGCTTGTAGCGGTGACATCCACCTCCACGCACCACATGTTACTCATGAGGGGTTGGTTGCGTTGTCGGGCCAGTGCGTTTCCAAGATCTCAGCCTCGACTACATCATCGTTACCAGCAGACATGGGTTATCCCTGAAACCTGGTTGAGCTGTAAACATCCTAGCAGGGTAACAGGGTAACCAGCCTTTCCCTTGCATCTGCGATATCGTCTTGGCCTGCATAGCCGGAGGCTAGACTTGCGCCGTCGTCGCCTGGTTTTTAATCTTCCGGTTGCCGAATGTCTATCACGGTCGACCGATTACATACGTATTGAATGACTTTATCATCAGAAAGTGGAACGGGCGACTTGATCGGCGAGCCGGTCGCTAACGATCGACCGTTCCCTTCCAAGTCGAGTTGTCTCTAGTGACACTAGTGAGTGTGTTCAGCAACATTTCCTCCTTAGGCACCACGTCTATCCAATCCGCCGAGATGGAGGTTTTGGCCCACGCCTATTCTCCATTGCACAAGGCACAAGGCACAGGGCAACCGGACACAAGGCAGGCTTTTCGAGCAAGCCTTTTGTTGTCTGCAAATTGGCCGGGCACTTAGGTCGTGGGAAGATGTCATGATAATCCACTAGCGACGCTGTGTAGCTTTCGTGCATGTATGTATGGTAGGACGAAGATATAAAGAGCTAACATCCCGTCTTTCTATATCTTCCTTCTCACCACCAACCTCCCCAGCCTGCTGCTTTCTCAAAGGCTTCGCTATCGAGTAACTCCTTCGTTAAGGTTACTTAAGACCTTCGTTGAGCCGTGCCGCATCCCACTCGCCTCACGTTGTCGTAGTGTTTGCGTAGCTTCAGCTTACTTTCGCTATAAATCTAATCCGCTTTATCGGCAACCATCACATCCAAAATGAAGGCTGTTTACGCTGCGTTGGCCTTGGCCGCTTCGGTCATGGCAGGCAAGGACCACGAGTCCATTGTCACCGCCACCACCTACGAGACAACTACTGTCTGCCCGATCACCAACACAATCACCTACGGAGGATCGTAAGTCACCTCTTGATATCAATATTCAGTATAGCCCACTCACCGCCTACTAGGACCTACGAGGAGACTACCTACACCACCTCAACCGTAGTTGTCACCTCCTGCGCGGGAGGTAACTGCGGAGGCGAGGCTACCGTGACTGCTCCTGATACCACCGTTGGCACCACCACTGCCGTCGAGGTCACTTACACGACCACGTGCCCTGTCACAGAGACAGTCACCGCTCCTGGAAAGACCTACGTTACAACATATACCACGACTAGTGTAGCAGTCACGTATGTCGACACTACTTTCGTTGAGACAGTGACCGGACCCGGTGCCACGAAGACAACGGAGGACGTTGCTTACACTACTCTGACTTCGCTATGCCCTGTTACTGAGACCAAGACTCTGGGGGGTTCCACAGTCGTTGTTACATGGACCTCGACCTCGACCGTCAAGACCGCAGTGCCTACCACCGCTACTGCGTACACTTCCTACACCGTTACTGAGCACGTTTCTACTGAAGTCTTCGAGACTGTCACCTGCCCGGAAACAGTCCATACCACTGTCTCCGAGGGTAACACTATCTACGTTACCGAGACTGGTACGGAGACGCTCTACACCACTAAGGAGTACACCGTCACGCAGACCCTCCCTGTCACCAAGACCAAGGAGATTGATGTGACCGTTACCTCCGAGGCCACTGCGGGCGAGACCCTCACCGCCAGCCCGACCGTCTGGATTACATATAGCGATACCACCATCGTCACCAAGTCCAAGTCCGCCACGACTGTGCCTTACCCTACCACAGTCTCCGTCCCCGCCTCCAGCAGCGCTGCTACCAGCGCGGCTACCAGCGCGGTCAGCACCACCTACGTCCCCTCAGCTCCCGCATCTTCTTCCACCGGTGTTCCCCAGGTCCCGTCCAGTGCCCTCGCACCCCAGGCTACCCCTGTCGCTGCCGTCTTGGCTTTCGCCGGACTCGCAGTCCTGCTATAAGCTCGGTCGCTTTGAAACACAGGCAACCAGCTTAAAGCAAGCTACTTTTTCTATAATAATAATAATAATAAAAGTTACGAATACAAGATAAAAGGGACGAGCATAAGCACGGCGGATACCCCGTCGCGGGCGGGAAGCATTCATTTACGGAACAAGGCACGGAGGGGAACTCGGTGGCGGCGGTACATATCCATACCGATCTTTCCAACGAAAAGACGATTCGTTTTACGGGCCATGATCATATCTAATGTTTAGTGGTATCTATTGTCATGATGGGCACCACGGGGAAATTTTTTGGGCGGGGCTAATCGCCCGGTTGATTATTTACATGTAGTCCATGGTAGTTTTTAAGACATCTTCTTGTATATAGTTTTATGGAGCCTTGTCACCAAGGCACATTAATTTTAAGAAGTTAACTAGTATATTTCGTCTCTTGCTGCATCTTGAATATTGAGTGAGACCGATTAGAATAATTCGCCTTAAGAGTCAGTCATCCTTTACGTCCGCGTGTGAGAGTGTATTACCCCCTCAACATCGGGATCAACAAGTACCAGAGGTGGGCCGACGATATCGATGATCAATTCTCTATTTCACTACCCCCTGGCTCTTGTGTGCCGCCTCTCGTGCAGTCAGCTGGTTTTGTTGGTTTTCTTCACCAACTATCCTTGCTATATTTGGGCTGTTAAACACGCCCGGCTACGTCATGGATAGGTCCTCGCAGCTGCAGATGTGATGTTGGCAGGTTTATGGGTATATTTGCGAGTGGTATACAACTAATAATAGCATCTTGGGATCTTGATGTCTTTGATTTATTTATGCGACGCTGCTTTGTTACGGTAGCATGAGTCTCTTAGCCCTACTGCTACTCAAGAAGTAGGTAGTCATGTTATAAGTCTGTCTAGATGAAATGGCGTTAGGGCTGAGATACCCTTCTACACCACCTACACTAACGTCTCGCCCAAAAAGGAAATAAAAAGAAAAGAAAACCTAGTTCGCGCTTAACTATCCCACGGCTCTCCCTTACTAGCGATAGCGAGTACATGTTAGTTAGGAGGTAGTTAGTCCTCGTAGCTTGCGGGATCTTCCAGTAGTGCGTATCCGCCGAGCCACAAGTTTCCGCAAGTGCAAAAGTCGTGACTCTTAGCGAAACAGCCGTTCCTAGTTGCCCCGGATGCCTTTACGTCAGTCTTGCATAGGTTAGGTACATATGCGGCAGCGGCCGAGTAGCCCCCGACCGAGTCTTGTCTTGTTTTGTTTTTATTACACACGGGAATTACGCCGAACCGGAACTGTGAATGAGTAGGTTAGAATATTATATGTATGAATCGGGCATAAAGCTTCATGTTGTGACACGGAGAAACCGGTAAGAACGCTGTATTAAATTATATTAGATATCCCCATAGCTTAAATAGGATATAAGAATCAAGCAGGAGCTTACCGGACATAGCTGCATAATATAGTCTTATTAGGTAACGTGGCTCAAGAAGCTAACAAGTCCACCACCCCCGTACGTAGCCCTACGTACTATTATATCTCGGAGAAGCATGAGGCGGTTCGTAAGGGATTGATCGTTCTCGGATACATAAACATTGAATTATCGTATTTACAGTTACTATTCCGTATTATTACGACTACTTAACGCAGGCACTACTATATTTCAAATAAATTTATTGCTATTCCATATATAAGGCGGTTGATACCTGCGTATGATCTCATGGGAACCATAACTAAGGTACTTAACCCAACCGCCGAACATATGAATATGTACGTTAATAGGTCCGAATCACTAGACCAAATCTACTGTTCATTTCACTTCCTAAACTATAGACTCACTGACTTCAAACCTCAAGGCAGAGTCCGGGACCCTTCAACTTTCACGATATACTGTATTCGATATGCTGCTACGTATCAACAAGCAAACCAATACAGCCTAGCATCAAAGCCAATGAGGAATCTACAGTCCAAAATTTCGTAAACTTGGATGGCGTATTACTGTCTCAACATCAATCTTCTTGCTTGTCTGTTCGTCATCCCGTCAGTGATATCTAGTGTAAAGAACTAGCCGTATTTCTAGAACATAGGTTTCGCCGACTATAACACAAGCATTTACGCCTCCTCCACCAGAACATGCATGCGTACAATCAGTGTCTTCCCCAACACCGTTCCTGCCTTTAGATCCGATCCGTACACCCCTAAATGATACACGAATTGAACGGACATGCACGTACCGGGTAAGCACGCGCAGCAAAAGGCCATCTAGGCCTCATCCGTGCACACAGCTCTGCGGCTGCTGTTATGCTAGGTGCCAACGTCTACGCCTCCCAAAAGGTACCACATCCTACTCTCATTTGCCGAAAACCCCAGATGCCATCAAGGCTGATGCGACTCCTAATCGCTCAGCGCCTGCAGCGCCTGGTTTAAAGGCACCACCCGCAAGCTACGCCCTCTCTTGAGCCCGGTGCTCACATTAGTAACTGTCGGGCTGTCGGCGTCGCGCCACTTGCGGAATACGCTCTTCATATCTCGAGGGATACCCTCTAGCACCACGGTCGAAAATGGAACAAACGGCCTATCCTCCATTCCCGCTGCGAGAATGCCGTACTCCTGCGCGAAGTCCAATGCGTTATGGAATGACGCGTACTGTGCCTGGGCCCGTGACCCTACGATGATGTACAGCTCAAAGAACGCATCGAGGACGTAGATATGCGTTGGCCGTAGATCTGCCTGCGAAAAAGGGGATACCTCAACGATCTGCAGGGTATTATGCATTAATAAGAGCCCGTGTGACAAATAGGGAAATGTGTGCAACTTACTTGCTGCTTGGAGGCTGCGTTTGAGCAGAACAGCCTGCAGCAGTATTTATCGTAGTTCGGCTTGAGGCGCCAATGATCGGCAGACATAGCCTTGGACTCGGCATTGAAAAGATCCCAGAAACTTGCTGGCTCGTGGCCGTCTTCAATTTCTTCCATCTCGCCCGACAGTGCGTAATCCATTCCTATGAGGCGTGCGCAGCTTAGCTCGTCCACTCCACTACCCTTACCCTTCCACAAGTAACATTTGCCAGCTGTCGATACAACGTACGGGAATCCGGAACATAAAGATGCAGGAGTGAAGTCGACCTCATCGAAGACGATATGTCCTTGGTATCGTCGTCCGCATAGTATATGCGGAGCTAGCGAATCAAACTTATTACCCGAGCCTCGCTGGGTAATAACTATACCTCCTAGCGCCTGTAGAAACTCGGAAGTCTCCTTGCCTTGATGAAGTTTGATTAGCCTGCCGCCTAGAGCTCGTGCTTCTCGTGATACGAATAATAACGCATCGTCTACAGTAGAGCGGGGCACATCATCTCCCGCCCAGAAGTAGACCTCTGTGAGCTTCTTGCCCGATTCGTCCTTGAACGTGTGAGAGCAAATATACATCTCTCGCTCAAACAATGTTCGCTCGTTATGGGCCGGAACAGGCAATTTTTTGCCGTCTGCCGAGAATTGGAATAGCTGAGCGCTCAATGTCTGAACTCTAGGCGGTGCTATATTCAGTCGATGCATTAGCAATTCAGCGGCATCTACGTTATAATTTTTGCGAGTGCGCTCGGGACCGAAAAAATCACCAAGCAAGGTTGACGCTTCAAAGGACTGCTTAGTGGGCGACCGTACAGGCGACGACGTCTCGGGTAGTGTTCTTGAGCTAGGACTAGGTGAAGACTGTGGGGTTTGTTTAGGTGCCGCCGGTAGTGGACGAGGGGGTAGTGCCTTTTCTAGCCCATTAGGTTTTGGGATAGCGGGCAAGGGTCGTTCGATCGAAGGCGGAGTCTTTATAACTTCTGGGGAAGTAGAAGGGCCGAAAGCATCGTTAGAGGGTAGCTTCTTCGGACCTAAAGAGAGCGGATCTGGCAGTGGTATCCTGGGCTTGTTTAGCAGCGGCGACTGGGGTTGCGATTTAGGTAGATCCTGAATAAGAGGCTTATCAGAAGCTGGTTCTGGCTTGGCCGTAGAAGGCATTTCATCGTCCCCCTTCACATCTTTCACCACCTGAGGCTCACCCGTTTTCCCAACAGCTTGGGTTGTATCATCAAGAAATCGTGACATTCGTCTCACATCTAACTTCTTCGGAGATGGCGGTTGCGAAGTGGATTCTTTTGGCTCATCGGATACCTTTGTTGGTGACCGTTGCCTCCTCTGAGTTGCGAAGACAGCTACCTGTTCGTGAATTTTGTCTGTACCCGGCGTCTTACTGGGGACTTCTTCTGGCGCCACCGCGGCGAACGGATTTGTAAAAAGGTTAGGGGATATAGGCTGCGGACTTGGCCTTGCCAATTCATTTTTGCCCACACTGTTTGCATGAGGCTTTGACGCGGAATCGAGAGGCTTCTCTGGCGATACGGAACGTCCAGCTGGCGTATGGTTAGATGGGGTTTCCTCAGGTTCGTGAGAGGTCGTGGCTGGTGTTGAGGTCGGCGCGTTTCTCTTCGGCCCTCGAGCGCGACCCTTAGTCATGTGTGTCAACTTTGGCCCCGAGCCGGCTTCGTTACCATTGACTTCAGAAGAAGCGTCGCGTGAGTTCGACGTCGACGTGCCAGAGGGAGATGTGGGAGCTATGCTAGACGGCCCCCTAGCAATTAGGCTGGCAAGAGCAGGGTTGAATCGACCAGCTAAGCCACCACCTGAAGGCTTTCCTTGTAGTCGGCCAGGAACATTTGTGTCCTTAGAGATCGGTACGGGTTGAGCCGAACCTCGCCTCGGGATGCTTGGAAGATCTATTTTAGAAGTGGAACCCGTAGTTAGATCCAGGTTCCCTGTACCACCAAATCTTTGTGGCTTGCTAGACGATGCATCCTGGGTAGAATCACGCCTTGGTACTATACCTGGCTTTTGAAAATCGGCAATTGCCGCACTAACAGCAGCAGCGGAGTCTTGGCCAAGCGTATTCGATCTCAAAAGTGTGTTTCGCCTGGCTATGCCCTCGGGAACTGGCGTATCACTTGCCGTGCTATCATTCCGCGTCACACCACGGCCCTCTGATTGTACCGTCTGGAAATCTTTTTTCTTCGTCAAAATGGCCTCCTTGAAGTCGTCAACACGTTCTGCCTTTTGCGGGCCACCGGTAAAATTAAGGGATGCTTTTCCTTTTAGAATATTACCCTTAAGCTCATCTGGGGGAACATAGTTCTGCGTTGTCGTCTTTCGAAGTTTAGTAAAAACATTCTTAAACTCGCTTTCTTGGTTATCAGTAGAAGTAGTTGGGACTTGTCTGGGTTTCAAATTCGCTCGGAAATCCATCTTGGGAGGCATCTCAGATTTTGGTTTGCTGGCGGGCAAAGGTAGTTTCGTCGGGTTGCGATCCAAGTCCGGGCTCTTAACGCCCGGGGTTATAGGGCTTTGAAGATCTTTCGGGGTGCCGCTATCATCGGGGCGAGCGGCGGTACCTATATTAAGAACACCCAGACCAACCGGCGGCTTCGTAGTAGTGCCAGGCGCAGAAGACCTCATAAGTCCACCAATACTGACTTGATGCTTATGCGAAATAGTCGGTGACCTGCTTCTCTCAGTACTGGAAGTGGCAGCCTTCTCGGCTTTTGCTTTCTGAAGATCCGCCATCCAAGACGGCTGACTTTTCGAAGGGCTATGCCCCCGCTTGGGAGATTCGGGTTTGTTCAGAGCCGATTCAAGCCAGCTAGACTTTGTAGGGCTCCATCTCCTAGAATCCATAGTCTTAGAGGGGGTGGTAGGTAGAGCTCGACCTAACTCTTGCTCCGGTGAATTCAGCAAGGGTTTGATTTCAACTTTGAGCGGTTCGGCAGATTTCTCGGCGACAGCCAAATCCTCTTCTTGACGCTCTCCCTCTTGACTAGGCGAAGGCTTCGGCGAAGTTTCCACAGAGGGGTCACGGATCATACTGGCAGGTCTTGACCTAGGCCCACCACCCGTTCTATGCGAGACAACCGGGTCTACTCGAGGCGTACTAGTAGGCGATTGGACGCTCCATCTCTTGATGCTGTCCGATCGCTTCATCATGGCGCTCTGTACAAATCCGCCCATTCCCTTCGTTGGTGAGCTTGACCTGTCTGGTTTAGATGGCGAAGTTCGTCCCGAGGAAGGAGACATGATTGGAGATTGTTCTTGGCCAACCTCCGTCTCCAGCTGAGCATCGCTGCTAGGGGGATCCAGTTTCTGAGCGACTGATAGAGGCAAAGGCGAACCTAGTCTACTTTCTGAGTCAGGGGAGACCGGCTGTGAATCTGTATCCTCTTTTGCAATTTCGCTGGACGGTGCACGCGACATTCCCGGGAGCTGAGCCGGCATTAGAGAAATATCAGCCGTTGGGCTATCCTCAACCTGATTCTTCCTATATGCGGCGGAAGTAGTACCCCTGTCCGCAGTTTGACGGAACCATGAGGGATCTTTAGAGGACAATGCTGAAGTAATTTGGTCTCTAGGTATAGTCTCGGTCGCCGAAGGAGGTTCAGGGGGGGTATTCCGTGCCGCGTTCTCAGCAGCAACTACGGATAGTGGCCGACTTCGTGAACGTTCGGAGGCTTGTGAATTCGGCCGTCTCTGCCACGAAAGCCCCCTAGCTCGAGTAGGAGATGTTTGTGGACGCTGTTTCCCTTCCAAGTCGATTGGAAACTCGTTCTCTTTCGTGGGGGAGCCGGAAAATGCTCCTGGGCTAACCATTTCCTCAGCGTTGGGAGAAGGAAAGGATTGAGTACCAGCAGGAGGCTCCAGGATAGGAGATGCGTCTAGGTTTAATCGGCCAGGTGAGGCAGGAATGTCGACGAGGCGGGCGGTGGACGGTGGGGTATTTACCGGCGAGGATTTTTGAGGCGAAATAGACCTGGCACGCTCTAGGAGAAAAGATTAGTTTAATTAAACCTTGGGTTAAGTAGAACCATGTCCCAAATCCTCCTCTAGAATTTAAGAGGGTGACATTGCCCATAGGAAGCAATCAATTAGACCAAGAACGGATATAGTAATTTCATACCTGCGCGCCGAGCTTCTCTTTCTTTTCTTTCTCGTAATATTCTCTCTTCAAGCTCTCGTGAACGGGCTTCGTCTTCTTCAATACGTCGATCACCCAGTTCCTTAACCTGGAGTAGGAATTTGGATACGTCTTCGGACATTTCTACTTTTTTTCTTTTTTTTTTTACCGGTAGATCCAAGGATCAATGCGAATGCAGACAGTTTACGGCACAACACGTAGGGCGGACGGAATAGACGGGTAACCCGGATTCTTGTTTACACCGTTCTCTTCGGCCGCGGGCACGGAGTCGGGTAGAGGTCGAAAAAAAGGGAAAATAACAAGAAAACTTGCTTCTTGTTGTTAGCGTTCGGGATGATGTGGTTAATTAGGAACCAAGCCTAATTAAATAGGTATCTAAACAGTCCAACAATTCATATACATATGAGGACTGAGGACTCTAATAAGAATCAAGTTACAAAAGTTTACGGTAGGTAAACAAAGTTGATTAAACAACTGCGAAAAGGCAAGTCCAAAGTGGACTCCTGGTTTCTCCGGCGCTGTCATCGTCTGAATCCCTGCAGGCCGCCGTTTCCTTGTCAGCTTGTGCGATGATCGATCAAATGATGCCCACCGAGTTTAATCCATAGGTACCTAACCAATGACGAAAGCCCGCTTAATAGCCCCAGCGGAGCCTAGCCGCCTGGCAACTGGCTGCCCGGTGCCTGACAGCGCACCAAATGATGAAACCGACCCGGAAACTTGATGGACATTCATCCATTTAAGGGTTAGCGTCAATGCATACTAGGTACAAGTGTTGTTTGTTGTCAATGTAGACCGACCCAATACAATCAACTTTCAACTCTCCGAATTTGTACTATTCGTACTGTAATAGGCAGATTGATAAATATGACATGAGGCTTTCACTTACCTAGTCTGTCACGTCGCGTTTCGTATAATTCTTATGTTGTATGCATCGACATAATGTCATGTGTTTCTATTTACATCTACGAAGTACGAAGTACGTCGAATAATAAATATATGTCCGTCAATACAAGAATAATCTTGCTTTCGCATCCTCAACCACCCATAACAATCCCTCCTTTAGATTCTCCCCCGTCATAGCGCTGCATCGTAGGATATGCCACCGATGTGTCCGGATCGCTTCGAGCTGAAGTCCTTCTAGTATTTCGGTCTCGTCCATACAACCTTGAACGTCGGTCTTATTAGCGAAGACTAATAAGCTAGCTCCTGAGAGACGCTATGTGCGCCATGCTTCTGTCAGCCATATCTTCACGTCTACAATATCAATCCATGGAGCAATAACAGGATATGCGAACCTCTTCTTGTAGTAGCCCATGAAGCTCTTCTCGACAGTCGTCAATTCTTAGCCGGTCTGTCGCATCGACGACCCATATGAGGGCGTCCGTCTTCTCGAAGTAGTTGCGCCAGTATGATCTCAGCGTTTTCTGACCACCGACATCCCCTATTTCCACTCAATCCCTAGCCATTGGTTGGTCAGTGCTTAGCTCGACTCACATATGTTCAATTTATATCTATCGGAAGGTCAATATTATTCATCGTAACACTTAAGACAGAATAGAATATAGAGAAAAGTCCCTGAAGCTCACCCCTCATACTCGATCGTCTTGATAATGAAGCCCAACGTAGGGCTGACTGTATTGACATCCTCATTCATTACCCTCTTAACGATCGTAGTCTTGCCTGCATTATCTAGGCCGCTATTTCATTAGTTGTTAGCCCAACTAACCCACTTGTAAATTACGGAGATTAGGAAGAGTTAAACTTGCAGCATTAGGATCCTCATCTCCTTATCCTTCAACCGCGCCTTTCGAAGAATAGACAACATATCTACTAACTAGGCCTGTTCAGATGGTATGACGAAGGTCGCGTAAGTATAAAACCCAAATTTGCCTTGATTGAATACCTATCTTAAAGATGGTGTTGGCCTTAGGCTACATCTTAGAGGTGGTCGAATTCACATTTAGACTAGGTACCTTCTATCATTTAATTCGTTGCCTATTCTCACGTGATGTTCTCAATTCAACATAAACTCGCTACATTTATTCCTACACCTAAGCCAATAAACATCATTGACCCTTTATAAAAAGACCCTTCACATATATTACGTTCAAGCTCAAGCGGAATCTTTAGGTATTCTATTGATACTTGTCGGAGACAAAACACTGTTTAAAAAAAGCTACCATCTATTGATACTAACGCCATGAAATGCCATGCATCCAACCAACCGTGATCCGTCTCTTACAGCTTATGCCCATTACTCATGGAGTCGATTTATTCGTCTTCTTCAAATTCAACTTCTTCGTACGAGCTCCACCGCGGAAAGCTTTGAGCCTATTGACATCCTGAGCATCCGCGTACTCGCGAACGTGCACTTTGCCGGCAGATAATTCCAGCAAATGTCTCTCCCACGGGCCTATGTTCTCTTCCACCAATGTCCGAACAGGCGGAGCACCCGCCTCAGGACCTATATACTCCCAAACCCAACGTAGTTCCCGCGAGGAACTGCTTCCCTGCGTAGTAGTACTTTCGCTTTCATCTGCGTCATAAATGGCTTTGTTAGGAACAGCACTGTTACCGTTGGCGGTATTAGATGGCCTCCCTCCAGTATCGCCATTAGCTTTTGGTCCCCAACTAGCATCGTGCGGTATAGGGTCGGGAAATGTTTGAGCCACGCGACGAGGACGCCACGCTCGCACCAAGGCTCGACATTCCCAAATATTCGAGTCGTTGAGTCCCAAACCCTCGCACGCAAGGCGGACGCGCACCGAACTGTGGATGCGCTCGTTCGTATCCTTAAGAAAGGCATGTGTAGGCCGTCCATTTTTGGGATTCATCTTCCTGTACATGCCAGGCGAACGAGTAACGCGTCCAGCGAGATCATAAATTGGGCTCTTCACCGCTTGGATCCTATGCAGGGACCACGGGCGGACAGGTTTATTCGGATGGAAGATAGGCATTGCTGCCCAAGGTAGGGGCTCTTTCTGTTGACTGGCCCCGCAGCATCCACAAGAAAAGCTAGCGAGCTTCTCGCGTCTCGTCTTTTCCGGCGTCAAACTATGGTAATACTTCACATTACGAGCGTGGAGTCTCTCAAGGGCGTCGTCTACGAATTCACAACCGACGGAAGAGAGTTGATCCATCATCCCTATTCAGGCGAATAAGCATTAGCACACATGTAAGAAAGGGGGAACTGACAAGCAAGGGTTATATTAGAAACGCCTTGATCAGCCCAACCACCTCCCACATTTCCATGACTTCCGGGGAACCAAACTTGTCGAAGATCTGAAGTGTCTCGATACTCTGGTAGCCGCTCCCACAATGTCGGGCTGAACGGACCGCGGGTTTCGTCCAGCGCGAGGGCATGAAACGCATGCTCGATCTTGTTAGACAGTCTAGTGTTATAGAACCGGTACGTAAACTATTGTCAGTTTATATAAGTCAAATGGCTTAGGGTGGGTTAGACTTATTCATGGCTACGCCACTCAATTCCGAATCGAGCTAAAATCTCCCTCGTTTTCCCTTGGGGGACACCCAACGAGCCGACTGTATCCCATACACCTGTCAATGTAGTTAGCCTTCGTTACCCGCACCCAGTCTGTCGTGTTTGCTAGCTGTACCAATGGCTTTGACCTGAATCAAATCTCCTTCGCCTTTATTTTGGCGTACCCGGCTATATCCATTCTACCACTAGTTAGCAATTTCAAGATCCATGAGGATCTTATCAACACAATACCTTAACAAGCATGTCCCGGTACTCGTCAGCAGCAAGAGGCCCTTTTGGTTTATTTGGGAAGGGTACCTGTGGAAATGGATCTTTGTAATCGGGATTCATCCAGTTCTGCATGTCCTTGAAGACGGGGTAGAAGAACTCCATGCCCTCGCGGGTGAGCAAACCTAGATCAGATATCATTCCGCCGATGGACCTCGCAGTGAAACCCCCGCGGCTGAAGCCGACAAGAATGATTTCATCCCCATCTACATAATTCGCACAGATATAGGCGTAAGCTTCGCGAATATTCTAGCTTCATGTTAGCCTTCATATCTGGCAGAAGAATAATCTAGTCTGACCTCTGCTATTCCGATTCCAAATGCACCGCCCACGATTCTGTCGACGACACCTGTTCTAGAGCCGACGCCGGACTGATAGTAGACAATTTGGAATGTGCCATTAGAACAGCCCCTTTTGAAAGCTCTGGATATGCGTGTTACGTTCGACGGGATTTGGAGAGTCGGTACAGGATTGGAGGCAGATGGCTTGACGTAGCCATTGTCCCTAAGACATATTAGTACTCATTCAGCCGGGTGTGGTCTGTATATGTCGTACGAATTCTGCCAAGTCCCATCGCAACAAATGACAATACGCTTCTTCATGGTAGATAGGATTTAGTTCGTAAGTTCGTGTCAGCCCTTGATCACGGCTCGGGCTAATAGGGTTACCTAGGGATTAGGGATTGATGAAAGGTAGAAAAAGAAAAGAATACTGATTATATATCAACTCGTTGTTAGAACTGAATACCGAGTCTCATAAGGGACTGGTGATTGTAAGGCTACTTATATATTGAATCTTGTGTTATAGGAAGAGGTTACATATCAGGGGGCGAAAGTGAAAGGCAACAAGTAATACCCAACTGAGCCCTTTGGTGACTTCGATTGCATCCATGTGATGAGCAAAGGAAGGTCACACTTGATTAAGAGAGCCATTGCCGTAAATAGAGAAAATAGCGCCTACTTGTTTTAAGAATCTAACTTTTACAAGTCAGGTGCATAATGTATCGAATGTAACTACCTTCAAGTCCTTAGATATCCGTGTATGATATGACGTAGTCTAAAGTAAACAGCAATGCCGACGTAGCGAGGAACTTAATATGTTGTGTAAGTGTTCCTTGAACTTCTCTACACCGAAGGACATGGCACCAATATCCGAATTCGATAGTTATTTATAAGACTGTTAGTCAAAGCTCTCTGCTAACCAAGACGTCGAAGCTCTATAGGGTCTAACGTATACATCTGGACGAATGAGTACATTCCCAAATTATGTCAATACTTGACCTAGGTTTACATCAACCATATTCCCCTGTCTGTATAGAACGATAGTTACGATAATAATAGTAGGTAAGACTGAGTGCTGGAATCAGCTTCTCTCTTGGTGGTTATTAATATATATGCATAACATCGATATATTCATATTAGTCATACATCGTACATACCTGTAATGCGCTAATATCATAAAATGATTTCAACATTCTCGAATCTCTGGCAACTTCCAAACCAAAGAAGACATTCTTAAACCTAACTCGAATCATTGAAACCCGACACAACATCTCAATCATCCCTCTTTAGTATAAATATTAACATATTTCACGAGGAGCACAGTACTCTTATTATTTTAAGACTTCTCTCAAATTAGACGTTCTAACAAAAATTGTCCATGTAAGTCAAGCGACCAATATCTAATATCTGGCTAGTCCATCTGCCTAAGCAATATTAGAGATATTGCCTTACCTTAGCTGAGCTCAGCCATCTTATCTCAGCTAACAGCCTCATCCTAAAGGCACAGTAGCAGTCACACTGCTCGTGGCCAGATTATCACCCGACGTTTACCAAAAAGGGACCAAAGCAACTCGGAGAACATCGGTTCAAGACGAATGCAGCCTGGTACAGATGTAGAACCAACGATCCGTTCTTACATGCATAGCCGCTGTGGTATGCATCCGATATTTACTAACCTGGCCAATCGCTCCGAGCCTCATGCCATGCGCTGCAGGTAATGGCTTGATCCTTCGAGCGTGTTTGCATATGCGACGCGTGGGGGGATCTCCCGGTTGAGCTCCTCCAACAGTTACATAATGGTCACAAGGGTTTGCGTGGCTGAATCGTTTTATCAGCTAACCTCTACTTACACATTTACCCCTCATCCAGTTGTTCTTCCACATGGTACCGTGCCGAACTGTTGAATAAACAGTCCAGCTACATCTTCTGTATATAAGTATGAGCTTAGGCACATCTCGTTCTCGTGGGTTCTCGTGTTACACCATGTCAGTATTTTTCAGATGTAGCTACCCGGTCAACAATCACCATGACGGGCGAGCCCAAGGATTCGGGCGTCTCGTTTGCACCGTTTTTCGACCGCTGCAAGCTACCGGCAAGCGTTAAACACGACTGTGACACATTCGTAATGACAATATATTCCGAGACAGCGCGACCCGCTCCATTTCAAGGTTACTGTTCGTACACGGTCTTCGTCGGAGAGGAAATAGTCGTCCAGTTTCGGCCATTGGCCCATAAGCTCGACATCAGCATTACGGATGCCGCTTGCAAGATCTTCGGACCCCTAGCTCCCAAAACCGAGTTTCTAGGGGAGTTAGGAAGTACAGGCCTTTATGTATTCTCCATGAGAAGAATACCAGGGGTCTCTTTGGCAGATCTTCGCGCCGAAACCAAGACTCTACAAGCAAAATCGCGACGAGAACGGATTGTGCGCGATTTCGCGCATCTGCAAGCCACGAGCTGGGGCCATGCAATAGGCCATAGTGATGTACGGGAGAAAAGGATGGTGGGTTCGTCGTTACGCTGGCGAATGGAGCTGATGGCAAAGAATCTTCCCTCTCGTTTTCGCAGCATCGCGAAGTCTATTCTTGCTGACCTCCCGGAAATCGAGGCCCTACCATGGGCATTAAGTCATGGCGATTTCCTACCTTCGAATATAATGGTATGCCCAGAATCCGGAAAACTATTGGGTTTGCTCGACTGGGCCGAGGCCGAATATCTTCCTTTTGGTGTTGGTATGTATGGCCTGCAGGAACTACTTGGGGAAGACAAAGATGGGCATTTCGTCTACTATCCCGAAGCCAAGCACCTTCGTAATTTATTCTGGGCGGAGCTCCTTTCCGGGCTTCCCGAGTTATCACGAAACCCTAAGCGTGTTGCGCTTATTCGAAAAGCGCAAATTCTAGGCATATTCCTGTGGCATGGTATCGCTTTTGACGATGGTAAATTAGATCGTACTGTTGAAGAGGGGAAGGATGACGGAGAAATTGAAAAACTGGATGCTTTCCTGCTGTCTCATTCAGGGATACGGCCTCGAAAGTTACGGTCTATTCGTCCGATTATGGACTCACCTATTGCGTTTATACGTGGGCTTCTGTCCGGGAAAGCATGTTGTTAATAGTATCTCCTATGGGCTCATACGGTAGGAGTAATGCGTAGGTCTACGCATGTATATGTATGTATAATGAATGTTTAATATGCTACAAGTATCTATTATTCAAATAATGCCAGCTCCATGTAGAGACCAAAAGCCCCAAAGCGTAGTATCACATAGATCATTGACCTGAGACTAATCGCCCCGGAATACACAAACCCACAACCTCCACAAGTATCAGGTAGTCAAAGCAAAGTAGTTACAATACATTCTTCCGATAGGACCGACGAATCAGAACCCAGTAAAGACGCAGTATATACTCTTTAAGGAATTAGATGGGTAACTTTGGCCAATGATGTTCAAAGGGTCTTGTACTATACCTACCCAATTAGCACCTAAAGAGATTATGTGCCCAACGTAGCATCACTCGATTGATACCACCCAAGGAACATCTTGACATCCAAGCTGATATATATGGCCATAAGAAAACTCCAATTTGTCGTAACAAGTATACACCAAGAGCCCTATGAAGACCCATAACCATTCGTCACACCATTCACATCATCCCCATTCCCATTCGCTACAAACGCCTTCTGCCACGGCAGCGGCTCCTTCGCCGGCCGCACAGGCCCCAGCTCTCCCTTTCGACGCTCCTGCCACGCCTCAATATCGCGATGATCCACGAAATTCCCATGGAACCCCAACCTCAGTCTCAGCGGCAAGTGCAGCGTCGCCAGCGGCCCCTTCGCCAAGTCCAGCGCATCCCAGATCACCACGTCGTTGCGCAGCTCGTCGAGGTTATTCTTCAGCGCGGCTAGGTACCCCTCGCCTTCCCCGCCGCCGTCCCTGGGGATGAACACCGGCTCCTGGAACGTCGCGGCCGGCCCCGCGAAATACACGTCTTCTCTGCCGATCTTGCCCTCGTCGGTAGCGTCCCATGTGTAGTGCGCCATGCAGTTGAACAGTCCGCCCGCTGGGGGCCCGCAGCGCGCGAAGTCGTAGGGCCGCGTGGGGTCGACGCGGAGCTGCCAGAAGTGCTCGTACTTCTTGGTTACGTAGCGGTCGTCGATGCGCGAGAACTCGCCGTTCGTGGTCCATTCGATAGACGCCTTGACGCGCGTGCCGGACTTGGCTTTCGGGTCGAAGACCCATCGACATGTTGGGCTGCTTAGGCGCTGTCGCCCTGCTAGATCGGGGTTCTCGCCGGAGGGAGGGAACCAGAAGAATACGTTGCCGTCGGCGACTGTAAGGTCGAAGACGATGTGTCCGTCTTCGTTCTCGTAGCACCCGGCGACGTGCCCGTGGAATCCTGGATGATGATGTTAGATAATTTCTCGGCTAGGTGTGATATGCAGGTCGCAAGAGGAATCACTTCGGCTAGGTAAGTTCCTGGTCGGAAGCATAGCTAGGAGGTACTTACCGTTGTCAGCTCGGAACCACTTTACATCCGATGGCTTGCCACCGCGCCTCGGTACAATGCCGTAGACCTGATCCTCATTCGGGTCCCACGCGAATTTATTTCCGCCGGCCTTAAGGCGCTCAAGGGACATCTTGAGCGGTGTGAGCGGGAGCACCGTGTAGTTCTTCGAGACACCACAGTCGTGTATCATGCCGGCGAATGGTGCCTTGAACCACAATTCCTCGGTCTTTTGGCCGTCGGCGTTGATAGTCCAGGTCACAACGTCGGCTTCACAGTCAGAGCCGTCAGTCCCGGCCTCGTACGCAAAACATAGCATCTCGCCGGTGTCCGGGTCGAACTTAGGGTGTGCTGTGAATGTCGGGGCCGTGATCTGGCCCTCGAAGTCGTATCGTCCGATGGTCTCCAGCGTGACGGGGTCCATGGCGAATGGCGGGCCGTCCTCCTTGCTTGCCAGTAGCATGCCTCGCCAGAACGTGACGTTAGTATTACTGACGGTGCGGATCACGCCTTTGACGCTTTCGTTGTCCGTGTATGGATTCCGGTACCGACCAAATAGGCTCTGTCGTGCCTCTTCCTCCTTTAGAAACTTATCTGTTCGCACATATCGCTGTTTAAAGTCGGCGTGTCCGTCTTTGATGCGGATAGCTGTGACGCTGCCTGTTTATTCCCGCCATTTAGTAAGTTAAAAGTTTACTTTTGTAGAAGTAAAGCTACAGTCTAAACGACCCCTTTTCTCTTAACGTACCATCACCATTCTGTTGGGCTTACGATCAGCGACGGAGCTATTAAGGTAAGCTACGAGTCAACTTACGAAATGAATATCATCTTCAAATATTGGCGGAAATCGATGGTCCTAGGTCCCTATTAATAAACTATTTTACGGCCCGCCGACTCTCGTATTTCTCACTCACCGGCTGCACACGATAGAAAGTCCCGTTGATATCGCGAGGGATCTCGCCTGTAACTTCAAGATTGATTATGTCCCCCTCAAAACGTGAGGGCTTGTTCATCGACGAGAATGCCGCGGTGTCCGGGAACTTAACACGGCTACCTGTCCTCTTCCCATTGCTATACGGATACAACGATACCTCAGACGCGATAGCTTCAAGATGAGCCATGGTTCGCAACTATCTCGTTAGTAATTGTGAGAATACTATTGGGTTGGAGGACCTCGCTCAGAGACGTTATGATCCCCATGTGAAATACAGCATAGGCCATACATTCTAGCTTACAGATGGAGCCGATTAGAGATACCGGCCGTGTAGAATAAGTTAATAACCCGATCACAGCGTGGTATAGTTAAACCTAACTAGACTATTTAAGGTGTGGAGAAGCTGGCACGATCTTCACTCCGTCGGCAGTTATTCCACGACTCCAAAATAGGCATATGAGAATACGTTTAAATAGAACAGCTTCGCGTATGTAACTATAGGCTCGTGTCTACCATGTATCTCGGCGTTGGGGAAGTGGGGTCGATTATATGTAGATACTCTTTACCCCAGATTCCAGACAGCCCCCTATTCCCCTTTAGGCTATATATTGCAACCCAGCACTACGCGTTCTGAACTAGATCAGGCAGAACCCTCACCGAGCCCTCGCTCGTCCAGGTCTTCCCCGCTCCAGGCCGAGTCTGCCCCTCCGGCAGTGCTAGAGTGAGCGGTGCCTCGGACGTGCTTGCATCCTTACCAAAGTGCGGCGCGCGAAGATCGTCATCCTCGGTCTTCTTTCCCGTCACCGGATGCGGATAGTGGAAGGGCACCACGCGCGTGTCAGGCCAGAGCATCTTTTGTTCGATGATCTCGTCAGGGCCTAAGGGGTCCTCGGGGTAGGTCTTGCTAGGCCATGGGATGTAGTTCTCCTTGGTCAGAGACCAGCCTTTCTCATACTCAGCATGCCAGAATGGGAAGTATCGATATCGGAATAACTTCCAGACGCCGTTCTCTTTGATATACTCGTTCTCGTAGAGGCCACCTTCCCACCATTGGACATGTCCGCGTGGATGAGTCTCCTTGACAGATGTATGCGTTCCAGCCTGCATCAGAGCGCGCATTCTGCACCAGGCATGTGTTCCGCTAGGGTCAACATCGACAATATCTTGCATCATAATATGATCTAGCAGAAAACCACGGACTGGGCCGTTACGTCCGTTAACGAAGGTCTGCTGAAAACGACCGTTGTAGAGTCTTTTAACGCCTTCTTTTCCTCTATATCGCGACCCAAGGAATTCCACATAAGTATCTGGATGATCCGCGTACATGTCCACAACCTAAACACACGTCGGTTAATATAGATAATCTAGAATATAATCAATATTCACCTGCCTCATTATATAGGCACTTGTCAAGATAGTAGCCATACTTGAAGTGAGTTTTTCGCACTTCAGCTTCATCTGAGATGCGCGAGACCTCATTTCGGAGGAGAGCGACCTGCTCCTTCAGCTCTGCTAGCTCAGATACCATGGTGTCTAGAGGCGAATTTTAATCGAGACTATCGTTGAATGCACACTCCCAAGAGGATTAACATCTGGCCTTGACTCGGGTTGATATTTAGCTAAGTATATATGTCACTCCAGATCGAGCTCATAAAGACCCCTGTTCCGAAGGACCATCTTGGTAAGAGCTATGTCATGGAACTAGACTGTAGCTAGTCCCTGAAGCTGGGCTCGGCAGATATTCCCAGGTCGTTCAATACCAAAAAGAGCATCGTCTAATCCGCAGGTGCGGGGAGCCTGTCGACCCCGCGGGGATTTGGAGACTGTAAATGAAGTAATCAAAGTTGAAGCCGGTTCAAGACAACAACGTAGTCTCTAGTAACTTGGGTAATTGTGTTCCTGCGGGAGACCTATGGCGAATAAAGAAGTCATATTGCAGCAAATGGACGTTGTCTCCAACCAAATATGCATTTAACAATTAGTTCTAACGAGCGGCTTTCCATTAGATGCTTAACCCAGTGGATAAGAAATTTCTGAAGTCTCGAAGTTACATCCTAGGTACGTAGTAATAGGGGTAAATCTGTAGTATGTAACCCAACCTGTAAGTATCATGACGAAGTGAACCTAGTACATATATCAGTATAAAGAGAATAATTATATTTAATCGCATATCCCACATAATACACTGGCTTGTAGATAATATCTAAAAAATAATGGAGCTGCCCTGAAGTGTCGTCTCTGTACAAAGGAGTGATCTTGAGAGGTATGTTATCCGTAGCTTCAGATGATGTCTTCTCTCTTGTTGTAATGAGTTTCTAGTACTCGTAAAGTCGTCACTTCCGCATTATTCAAAGGACGACGCATGTACCTTCTTCTCCCATAAAAGATGTAGGGGAAGGGAATAGGGGAAAGGGTAATGGACATTGTAATACAACTTAGCAGGTGGCTGATTAACGTTCCAAAGCACCCGACTGAATACTTTCTTTGGTATTATGCACTTTTGGAAATGTGAACTATAGTCAGTCTATAGACACACAGTTTCATTAATTCGAATTCGGTGTACCGTCATCATCTTAAGAGTGTATTATCAAACACAGTCTATAGCTTGCTACATTACTATCTTATTTTCGCTACTCTATCCGTTCGGCATTAGCCGAAATTGCTATAATACCTTCGCGATGAAACTGGCTGGTTTCCTACGAAGTTACGTGGCTTCGGCTTTATTAGCTTCTTTACCTATAACCGGGGCTACCATAGATAAATGCGATGGAGTCTTGGTCTCGGAGGTATAATACTAAATACTATTCCGTTGAGACAGGCCGCGGAACTGACAAAGGAGTACAGACACTTCCTGTCCTTATAAACTCGACTGCCCTCCACGAGCATTTACAGGCATTGCAAAAGATCGCAGACGCACACCATGGGAACAGGATAACAGGCTCCGCTGGCCACAACCAAACTATACAGGTACAAAATGTTGGCTATATACACATATATACGGCCACTAATCTGGTATCTAGTATATTCAAGATCACATGAAGTCCCAGGGTTACTACGTGGAGGTCCAGCCTTTCCACGATTTAATACAAATCAACAGCAAAGCTACCTTGTGGGCGAACGGTGAAGCTTTCGATGTTGAGCCGATGGGATGGTCTCCCGAATGCGCTTTTACTGAACGCCCCCTCATAGCCGTTAATGGGGTAGGATGTAAAGCTGTGAGTAAATCAATAACTTATTTTGAAGACGATTGCTGATATCATTAGGCTGACTACCCGCAAGAGGCTTTAGATGCGGTTGTAATAGTTGGTGCAGGCGGCTGTTCTCTCTCCGACAAGTCGATAGCTGCGGGTGAAGCTGGAGCCATAGGCCTCTTAATGTATGAGTTCACGCAGCTCACTCCATGCTTAGGCGGGCTGAACGATCGTCATATCCCATCGGCAAAAATAGCTTACAGGGATGCCGAACGCATACTGGCGCATAGACTTCCCCTATCCGTTAATATTTTCGACATTTATATGCAGTATAAGGAGGTCTCCAGGTTTGTACCGCCGGACTAGTGTATTATGTTTTCACACTAACTTCGAAAAGCTACAACGTGTTTGCAACCTAGGAATATGGAAACAGGGACAAGATGTTGTTGGTTGGTACGCATACTGATTCAGTCAGTTCAAGCCCAGGCATCAATGACAATGCCAGTGGTGTAGCCAGTCTTCTAGAGGTTGCTACACAGCTCTCAAGGTTCAAAACAAATTCGACAGTCAAGTTCGCCTTTTGGACGGCCTCAGAACCATGTTTACTAGGCTCCAAACACTGGATGTATACTACCCACAAGGAAGAGCTTCGGGAAATCCGCCTTTACCTCGATGCCAACATGCTTGGCTCACCTAATGGCGCCCTTAAGGTATATGACGGGCATGGCTCCTCTTTCGGGACACCTGGACCACATGGCTCCAGAGAAGCCGAGGCAATTCTAACACAAGGGTTTGAGGCTCAGGGCGTCAATTTCACAAGGACCGAGATCAGCAACCGTAGCGACTACGCTACATTTTTTGACGCCCAAATCCCTTTTGCGGGTCTTTTCAGCGGCGCCAACGGATTGAAGACATGGAAGGAGGTAGGTATGTTCGGAGGTGATGCCGGGGTTCCATACGACGCCAACTATCACGAGCCGGACGATAATATAAAGAACATCAATATGAAAATCCTGTTACAAAACACAAAGGCATTAGCCCACGCCGTTGGAGTTTACGGAAGAAGCCTCGACAACTTTCCGGCATCAGCGATCCGGCATTACGGCACGTCAACAGGATATCTATACCCACTGCTGGCCTCAGCATGGGTTGCATACTACTTGTTGTCCTAACTAGTGTAAGCTAACTATACCCTCTGGATTCCATTACACTACTGGGAGGCGGTAATGCTGAGAACGAGTACGTAGTATTAATTAGAACACCTACACACATCGCGTAATTTCAAAATAAACCTTGAGATTAGCTTCTCTGCTGGACGCTCCCGTAAATTATTATTGATGTGACTGATAATTGAGAATTGATGGTTAGTGTAATTTTATGTTTTACTTGTTGTCTCTCCCCCTTTCCAGCTCCAGGATCTACATCGAATTACGTCTCTTCCAAGCCGAATCGGCGTCCGGATGGATATTGGGTACTTCGATGTCCTTCCTCAGCTCCTTCTTCCGCTTCCAGTCGGAACCGAATCTCCTGTCGCGGTCGCCCACCGCCTTCTCAAAATCGAACTGACCGTCGGCTGTGAAGCTAGTCATCAACTTGGGCTCGCCAAGCGGAAGAGTATCGCCCCGGTCCGTCTGCCATAGGTGGTATACCTTGCCGTATAAACCGATGATGTGCTTCATCTCCTGCGTCTCGGCAGCCTCCCAGACCTGCTGCACGCCAGGCACGGTCGTCGGTCCCGGCATGATTAGCATGCCGGATTTCACCTCGTACACGTGCGAATGCCATAGCTTCCGCTCCTCAGCGGGTAGGGTCTCGTACAGCTTGGGCGTGATCATGTACTCGATACCTATAAGCCGGGCGTTGCGCCCGGGACCATCGTAGAGGATGCATTGCCGGACGTCTGGGGGGTATTAGAATGGGATGGGTTGAATATAGGGGTATTCATAATCTACCAACCTTCGGTTAGGTGAGCGCAGTAGTGATTCGCTTCTACGTAGCGGCCTGGCTCGTCAGCGTATGTGTGGAAGGCGTTTAGGTGGGCACAGAGTTGCTTCGTAGGTTGGAAGTTTTGGATCATGGATGCGCCGGTCTCGAGGATCGTGTCCTCGGTTGGGACTGGGCCGCCGGGGACTTGTGGATTTGTCGCCATGGCCTTGTATGATGCTATTGGGAGGAAGGGTAGGCTGTAGGCTTACAATGGGGCTGACTTATCTTGATGGTTTAGAATGATGTCTTGTTTAAACCGACACTAGCTTGTATGTATAAGTGATGTCCTTTAGATGCTAGAACAACGAGTATAAATACTATAGTTAAGCTCGATAAGAATATACGTAGATATTACCTATTCATTGCCATATATTATCCTACACTTACAATACTTATAAAGTTTCATTCAACTTCAACTAGATAGAAAGCAATAATGCTGATGTCATGAGTGCGTCGTCCGCTGCCGAATCAGCGGGACTTGCTAGAAACCGGCAAATAGAGCAGCATACTTGACTGCTCTGTAAATGGCTACAGTCGATAGCTTTAAAGCTAAGTTAGAGGTGCTCTCGCATCTATAATACTTGATAGTACCTATATTAGAAAGGAGAGTTGTAAAACCATGTTTACATGTGCATTTAAGACTTAAGTAGATGGACCTCGAGAAATCACGTGTAACCCCTTATCGTAACATCGTAACAACCTTATTACAGGTAGAATGTACAGTGAATGTACAGTGCATATGGTGGACCATTAGTGCAACTGTGCCAAAATCAAGAAAATTGGTTGCACTATGTCTAATAAGGTAATATAATAAGCAACGCTAAGCGCACAGTACGCTATATACAAAATAATAAGGTTTATTATTATCAGCACTAATATCCGGGCTACCTTCCTTACTTATATACACAACATACAACACATTTGAATAACTTTACGAAAACAACACTCTAGACGTTATAATTGGTATTATTTTATAGCCGTAATTGATGCGAAAATAATGGACCAAACTGCATGTTTATGCGATGTGTATTGAGTATTATATTGCTATTAAAGTATCTGGAATCTGTTTGGAATAACTCCATCGAGGTGCTTTTAAAGGGTATCACGTGCTTGCCTCTCCAGACAAGCGCTATTTGATTCTACTACAACATAACAGCCAAGAGGCCGATTTAGATGCAACTTAAATAATTATTTTCGCATCAATTACGGCTATAAAATAATACCAATTATAACGTCTAGATTGTTGTTTTCGTAAAGTTATTTGAATGTGCTGTATGTTGTGTATAGAAGTAGGAAAGGTAGCCCGGATATCAATATTCAATTTTATTGGCTGATCTTTTAAATCTGTGGAAACACTGGCTGTATAGTAATGCTTATATAATTACGTAGTTTCTTCAATATCTTTACCAATATTAGGTTAAATCATATATAACCTAAATTAAAATTTTCGTTATTTTATAATCAAAATATTAATGTTTTTTAAAAAAAATTTAAATAAATATTGGTTAGGTTATTGTAGTATAAAGTCAAAAAAAGGTACCTATGTATTACCTTGTAAAAAGTATACAGCGCAAATAGTCGAGCCTATACTATACATCTAATGTTACTATTACCTTATTAGACATAGTGCAACCAATTTTCTTGATTTTGGCACAGTTGCATTAATGGTCCACCATAGTGCATGTCATGTACCCCACTGGGATCTGGCCATAGCGTCATTCTATTAACGCCCCATTGACGAAACCGCAACCTAACAATTAGTAACTCGCCAACCAACCACACGACGGTAGAGTTTCACACCAACACCAAGCCCAATTGCGTATCCCGAATTAAAAGAATTCCAAGTTCCAATTTTTGCGAATTCTGATATATACATACCACACCACACGAGGGGCCCAAACCCAAGCAAATCATGGCGGCATCCCGCCGCGGCCAGCCTGAGCTGCAGGTCCGCCTTCCCTCGACCCAGAACGTTGCGGTTCCCGAATTACCTCCCATATCCGCCCTGTTTCTGATCGACTTCGACGTCAAGGCCGGGTATACCATCTCGTGGAAGGCTTCTAGGCCTGGGGTAGAGCTCGAGGGCGTTGTTGAGTACAAGTCCCTGCCTTCGGGACTACATACCGTTTCGGAGGACTTGATCTACTTCGTCCACGATGGGTATGCGGGGTTGAGCGCGTTTGTCAATGCGCCTGTTGAGGATAGCGAAGTGCGGAATGCGAGGATGCTGGCGGTGGGTGTGCTGGTGCCGCTGAGTTACGGTCGGTTGGGAAGGGCTTGGAGACATGCTGAGGGTTTGAAGACAATGGCATCGACATTTGCTACTAGTACCAAGGACATCGGTATATTGGAGGAGTACTGGCAGAAGCATCAGGCCAAGGAAGAATCAGTTGCGCCTATCGAATCTGTCGAGTCACCATCTATTACATTTCAACCCCCGCCGAAGCAACCTCAGGGCCACGCTAGGAATCGTTCGGCCTCTGATGGAGCAGCTTTACTACCGCCTGGCCATAGACTCTCTGCATATCATCCTGCCTGGAGCTTGACAAAGCTCTTAGACACATTTGGGCCGCTGATATTTCCAATATACCGTGCTGCGTTGTTGCGCAAGCGCATTCTAATATCATGTCATGCACCCGTGCAAGAAGCTTGCAACTTTGGTCAGTCTAACCATGTATTAGCATTAGATATACTAGTCTGCTAACAACGATCCTAGTTTACGACATATCTATCCTATCCAATATCCCACAACCCATATTCCACCTCTTATCCCCCAGCTCGCCTCCCCACCGCTTACGACCCCTCTTCTCCATCGGCGTCCACGATATCCCTTTCCTTGTTGAGGACTCCAAGTCCAGACGCAACAGCGACGACCCCACAGGCGGCGATCATGAGGCGGGAACCGGTTGGATAGCCTGCACGACCGACAGTATCCTTGCCATGAAAGATACGCTCTGGGACGTCCTCGTCACCCTACCAGCTCCGCACTCCACCAAAGCAGCGCGGCGCATCTGGCCTAAGATCGAAGGGCCAGGCGGTATTCCCATCCGCGCCTCGCAGCGGGATCTGCGACGCTTCCGCACTCTCGAAGCCGGGCTGGCCCGACTATCCTCGCAATTAAGTCCCGGCACGTCGCCCACCACGTCTCGAGACCCTACTGTGACTAACAACCTGTTTTTTGATGACGCAGAGGAGAAGGAGGTTGTCGAGCCCCTCAGCTGGACCGCTCTTGCCTACAATGGCTTCATGTGGTGGGCCTCGGCCGGCGAGCAAGCTCTCACAGAAATGGCCGAGGAATCAGCCCGCGACGCCGAGCTCCTCGCCGACATGGGCGGTTCACCATCCTCCTCTTCCGCAGTCCGAATGGAGGCTCCCCTGCTCTCCGCGTCAATCGTCTCACTACCACCTGCCGACCCCAACGAGGCGCGCACAGAACTCGCGCTTATCGCGTATTTCCACCGGCTTACGATGCAGGTCCTCGGTACGCTGGCGGCCCTTGTCGAGAGTGATGAAGATGACAGGGAAGATGGCTCTAGGGACGATGACGAAGATGATGGTACTGCCGCGTTGATAGACGACGATGACGGCGTGGAGGGCCGGGGCGTGCGTGTAAGCAGTGAAGATGTCGCGCGCATGGGCCTTGATGTGTGGAGCGCTGCGGACGCGGCGTCTGTGACGGCGGCTATGGCGGCGTATTTTGGCCGTAGGGCGTATGTTGAGGGGAAGGGGGTCGAGGTTTGTGGTGTTAGAGTTTGTTAGTGATGGATGGATGGGTGGGTTTAATGGTCGTGAAATATGGGGTTTGACGAGCTACTTAACCAGTGATGGTGGTATGAAGCGAGGACAGGAGATACTCCGTTGTATATTAATATTGCCCTTCTCGTGACCATACGAGATAGGATAGGAGGTTAGTGTTTGGGGCACAGCAGACCCAAACATCGTCATAGGTAATGGGTCACTCACTGGTGTGTTATCTGTATATTAATTAGTTCGCGTGTGCCTCGTATAAAGGCCTCGGAGATGGAATTGAATATATTACAAAGCAAAGAAGTACAATGGCTTGGTCTCGGAGATGCATGCGGTGAGCTTGAGATAGGGAGATATTTAGCTTGGTAAGGTATTGTAATAGTTAAAGACCTGTCTATATGCCTTGGTGACAGTATTATTATCTCAAGAAAGCGCCCGGCCAATTTTCAGCTTCAACATTGCATATAACGTTTATTTAGTAGACATTATGAAAACATGGGAGGTATATAGGCTAGAAAAGCAACTTAGACGTACGTCGCAAGCCTGATATACAATTATTCCCCCTTAACCAACATACAATTTACAACCCCCCTATTCCCATTCTCATGAACACAACATAACACAAATCACGCAACATTAATCCACTCACAGCTCAAAGAACAAGCATACGAACATGATATCTGATCTTAAACTTTCATCTGCGCAACGCGCGGGCTTGCTTTAGTATATACGCCCTATCGCAGGCGCCTGTCTCCCTACAACGCCACGACGCCGATCCTATGCCGCTGCAGCGTGCGCGCTTTTTCCCGCACAAAGAACTAACTAACTAACTGTACACGTACGCTACTATCTCGATCGAGATGCAGCCATCAGTATCAGACACCGCGGTCTGATTAAGGGGGGAGATGGGAAATAGTACGCCTGATTAAGGTTTTCAATGCACGACCGATTATACTGAAATCTCGGTGCCGGTGCTTGTTTCGCTGGTGCTATCATCTTCCTCCTCACTACTACTACTATCTTCGTCGTCTGTCACCGGAAACTCGATACCCTACGACTCGGGCTCGGTATCAGTGTTTGTTTCGCTCGTGCTGTCTTCTTCCTCTTCGGTGCCACTCTCCTCATCTGAGTCGTCGTCGTCTTTCCGCCTCTTCGGCTTTGTGGCACCTGCAACGTTACCGCCCTTAAGTGCGCTCATCTGGCCAGCAAGAGAATCTGGATTTATGTTAGAATTGGATATAAATAGATGTTAAAGTAGAAAGCTTACCTTCTTCTGGCTCACTGATTTCATCCTCTCCGGCCATTGCAGCCGCCTTGCTAGCATCCTCAACGTTAAGGGTAACCTCCATCTTCGTGTCAAATCCAATGTAGCTGTCGCACACAACGTGCATGACAAATGTGTAGGTACCAGCTTGAGGAGGAGCGGCAAACTGGGCCTTCAAGGTCTGCATGTGGTATGTCGGCTTTCCGTCATCTGTGAATATAGGCATGTCGAATGTAGTGAAGGGGAAAGGCTGTACAGCCATCTTTCCCTGTTTGCTATCCGAGAGAAAGATGTTCCATTTCGGTGAATGATCACGGGGATAGTGAGGAGCGAATGCAATAGGCGGTGATACGGGTTTGTTGTCTTCCTTTGAGATTACCTTTCCATTTGCGTCCTTCACTGTCTTTTTGCGTCCCATAAGTGCGTCAAGATCATCCTCAGCAGCATCGACATCCTCTAGATCAAGCTCGTCGATCTCCGGAACGTTTGTGCTCCCAGGAGGAATAAATCGACCCTTTACAACAAGAGTGACCAAAGATGAGGGAATAATAAACCGTTCGCCAGCAACCTTGAAGAATGCCTTTGCGATTCTAAGGTAAGGAAGCTGCTGTGCGACACCGACCGCTGTCTTGTACTGCTCTTCGTTTAAAAGTCCTTCTCCGACTACAGCACTTCTGCGCTGCGAGTCAGGTTGGTCCATAAATTCCTGAACAGTAACATGCGTTTTCGAGTCGCCCTCAACGGCTTTCACCACTGTTGGTGTAAAATAGGGAAGCTGGAACAGAGGAGAGGCCTTCGGGGGCACGGCTTGGATGAGTCGTTGGCTAACGTAGAATGAGGAGAGGATAGGAACAATGTTGCCATATGCGAGTGAGATCACTCTGAAGGAACCGCAGAGGCTCTGCGCAATCGGCGCAACCATATACTTGGCACTGTTCAAAGCTGGGTCGTCGAGCTCTACGCGGCCAAGGTAAGCCCATAAAAGTGCTAGAACCTTTCTCCTTACGCCGCTATCGAGATCCTCTAACTTCTCTTTATCCTTGACTGATAATCCGCCTGCAAATGGGGTGATTTCTCCTTCTGCCAGTATCCTCGATTCAATTTTCGCGAGACCGGATTCGGCCTTATCTCCCTTGAGCGCAATCTGGAATTCCTTACCACAGCTAAGAGCAGTCACAAGGTCCCCCTCGTCCATAGTCTCGGAGTACTCGCGGAATAGGTTGTTGGCGCTCTCGACTTGGACTCCCTCTTTGGTTATACGTTGGGTACCGTACCACCAGGATCCGACGTAGTAAGGTAACAAAACTCCGAGAAGTAAAGCGTACACCAGCACGACGTATTTACCATTTCCTTCGGATATGATGAACTGGGGGAGGGCAATTCCAATGCTGTAGCTTTGCTTGCCGTCGGGGTGTCCATATTGGATGTAATTGTTGCGAACATCCTCATCCGTAAGTGCTTGGTATGCCTTCGTAAGATCAACCCATTTGTCGTTCAATGTCTCGGCAGTCTCGTTCTTATCTGGGTCCGGCCTGGCCTTGTCCGGGTGATATTTGAGACCGAGTTTTCTATAGTGTGATTTGATCTGCTTTTCGGACGCCGACTAGAATAAAGTTTATTAATACAAGTACTGGAAATGCGCAATTTGCAAAGACATACTTCAGAGACTCCCAGGATATCATAGGGATTCCATATCTTAGCTGTCGTTCGTTGGGTAGTAACGATTAGGTATAACATTCCGGCCATGAGGGTCCATCCTATTAGAGCGGCAATGGCGCGCTTGACCTTGCGCTGTTTTCGCTTCTGGGCTGCGCGCTGCGCTTGAATAAGGTCGGCATGTTCTGGTTGGTATGAGGTCTTTGTCCGTGGTGCAAGTGCGGCAGGGTCTTTGCTCGGGGCGAGGAGGCTATATGTGAGAGGTAGCGTGACGATAGAGGTTAGAGTGAATACGAAGAAAGGGTAGAATTGTCCCTGTTCGTCGTAAGAATACTCTGAACCCATGGTGCAGACGAGCCCTGTAACAGGGACTTTGAAATAACTTCGTTGAGGACCTCAAAATATGTTTCGTCTGGAATTGTTGTTGTCGAGTGTCGAGAAATTGCCGAAGAGAGAGGGAGAACTTGTTGTGCTGGAGTTGAACTAGATTGGTTAAATTTAGAATCGCCAGTCAAGGCAAGCTGTCCAAAGGAATTGCATAACCCGTCTTGAATCGTGGCCTTCTAAATTTCGAGTGGCTACGTACTAGTGGGTCTCAGAGGCCTTATCGATAGGATATCAATAAATGTGGCGTGTCCGGCTTATTTATGATAGACCGGGTTCTATTGATCAGGTACCCGACTTTTGTACCTGACTAAAACCACCAGATTTCAATATCCGAGTTACTCAACTGCATTAACCATTGAGATAGAGCATATATCGCAATAAGGTTGTCATATCTCATTCTGTGTACTTTAAGTAGGTGTTTTTGGTTTTCTTTGTCTACAAATTATTCCACGAAACCTGTTCTAGAGTTGTCCTAGAAAAGAGCCTTTGTGTGCTCATGAATTATACTTCTCTACATCTCCCTATAGGTACCAGCCCGAACACCATCCCCATGGTAGACCACTCAGGTCCCGACAAATGGTATCATGGTTCCAACTCTGCTCTTATAATTTATATATTCCTCCCCGAAAAACCGGACGAGCAGTGCCTCTTCATGCTTTACTCTGCCAGAAAAGAACTTCCATAGGACAACTGTGTAGCCTATAAAGCAAATGGGGTTTCCCAGAACCATTTGCGTCCCTATGCTCCAGTAGAAGAAGCCAAAGTACGCCGGATGGCGCAGAAACGAGTAAATACCCGAGGTAACTAGGGTATGAGAGTCCTTTTTACGCTGCTGAATAGTGTGATTGAACGACTGTCCAGCCTGACCCATCGCCGCGCTGCGGACGAACTGCCCTACAAACACCAATATGAACCCTAACAACAAGATGATATGCCCACTATAGAGCGGTGCCCAATGTCGATTCGGGAACAGTAGCTTGGTAAAGAGACATTCAAGCGACGCCGCCGTATGCGCAATAGCATAAGCCGGCCAATTCGCCGTTAACAAGAACGAGCCGATATTCGCGACCGGGGTATTGTACCTGGCAGTAGTCCAAAACTCGAGGAAATGGAACGTCGCCAGCGCGCCGATAAAGAAAGGTACGCGCCACAGCGGCGAGGACGTAAAGACCAAGATCGAAATCATAGCGACTGCGGACAAGGCGAGCGCTATGCCGAGGCAAAAGGACCGAATCGCAATGCCCTCGAGGGACTTGGGCCCCGCGGGGAAGTAGGCCCGTTCGGGCGACGTCTGGACGCTCTGCGCAACGGGACTAAGGAGCGGAAGCAGATTGTCAGCATTTGTGCGCGTGTTAATCGAGGCGAGTTTTGCAATGGAGCGCTGGCGCGTGTTGAAGCCCGTCGCCCACGACACATCGTCCTCGTCGTGACCATGCAGAGGGGCAAACCCGCCGAGCACGGGTGTAACAGGCGTCGGCGTGGGTGTAGGTGTAGGCGTCTCTGACGCAGTCGGCGGCGGAGTAGTAAGTGACATGATGGCGCTCCAGGGACTAAGATGTTCTACCAAGAGCAGCTAAAGCGACGGGGAATATCGGGTAGGAAGCCGGTTCAGGTAGTATCACGGCGGTGATTGCTTTGAAATAGAGGTTCGACAGTTGCTAAAATAGAAAGCAAACTTACCTATCCGGCGGTGACTCCATTGTGCTCCGGAAATACCACTTTCTCCTTTTTTATTGTCTCGGAGTCTCTTCGCTTGATATCAAGGACAAAGACGGACTCGTTGTAGGAACCAATCCATGATATGTGTGTACGTTGTTGTATGTTGTATGGAGCATAACAACGGCTTAGAGTTAGTTAATCAAGTTGATAGGATATGGTTGATAGGTTATCGAAGACATTCTTTTTTATGGGTCCGTCTAAGATATAGATTACTTACCTAAGCAAGTATTTAACCTACCAAATCTACATCTACATTGACTTTCTCTACTTCCTTGGGCAAAATCTAGACCTTCGGTAAAGATTTAGTAGAATATCAATGAGAAACGGAAAAGGAAATATTAACACCAATAAATAAACTAAATAATACCCATCACTCCAGGACAATGCCATGTCAATAATTTGTTTTATTCGTATCCCGTTCGTACAACAGGGCACCAAATCTAGTTCATTCCTCGTTCATAAAGCAAAGGGTATCATAACTTTTCTCTATCCCGTGATCCTTACTACGAATCATTCAATGCCGGGTCGATCAAGCCATCCAAGTCACTAGGCTGGATAAGCTGTCTCATCTCGGCCTCGTCGTGAAACCATTCCCCGTCAAACACTGGTGCCATTGAACCCTCCAAACCAGTATCGGCCCCAATCCAGAATTCGCCGTTCCTACCACCCGCCTCTTCCAAGTTCCCTTCCCCTTGCATCATATCGTCAAATACCATCGGCAGCATTGGGTCTGCCCCCGGCTCTGCTAGTTGTTGTAGTGCATGCTCGATGATATGCTCACTTTGTAGGTGTGTCTCAAGTTCGCCATTGTGTACGAATTTGGCGGTACAGCCAGAAATTGTACATGGCAGTGTCCGTCTAGACTTCTCTCCCATACCCGTGAGCTCTTCGAGGATATCAGACGGGTCGCGTTGCTTGGGCTTGGATACTCCCTGGGGCGGCTCTGGTCGTTCATACTTTAGATGTATATAGCGAACATGGTTCTCTAGATTGGCTTTGGTAACGAAGCTCTCCCCGCAACCGTCGGATTGTAACCAGTGTCCCAAATCTTCTGTGCCACTAAGATCAACCTCTCCGCAGACGAACCGCATGCCCTCATGGAAGCTTCGTATATGAACATTGAGGTTCGATTTCTTGGTGAATGTCTTGGTGCAACCCGGCCACGTGCAAGCAACAGTTTTTCGCTCCTCGATGCTCTTAGGATTTGAGTGCTCGAAGTCAATATGCTGCTCAAGACCTAGTCTGCCGTTGCATTGGATTCCACAGAACATACAGCTGACATGATCTTGTTTCATGTGAGCTTGCAATAGGGCCATTGTAGTGAATCCTACTCTCTTGTGCTGACCACTATCGATGTTCTCCTGATGAGTGCTGCATTCCTCGCACCAGAAGCGAATCTCGCCGTGTTCTCGTTCTTGGTGACGTCTTAGAGCTCCGGCGTTATCGAACCCTGCGCCACAAGCATCTCCTGATGTGCCATCTTTGTAGTCGCAAGGGTAAGGAGCAACACGGAGATGCTCGGCGCGAATGTGACGTTGTAAAGTCTGATGCTTACGGAACGACTGGCTACATGGAGGGAAGTCTCGGCATCGGAATCTCTCTTGGCCCTCATGAACAGCTTGGTGTCGTCTCAAACGAGTAGCTGTCATGAAACTCTTGCCGCAATCAGGTTGGGCGCAACGATGTTCACGCTCATCAGTGTGAGAACCCTTGATGTGCTGTCTTAAGTGTTTCTCCTCAATATAGTCTTTGTCGCAACCAGGAAATGAACACTTATACGGTCGTTCCTTGTTGTGAGATCGCATGTGGGCAGCAAGACGGGCTGGGCGGTTGAATGTCTTGTCGCAATCGGGGAATGTACATTTGATCGTCTTGAGGTCTGAGGGAAACTTGCGCGCAGGGGAAAGAGGAGTCAGCGGGGTATCGTTTGCGGGAATAGTAGATGATGTGCCGGCATAGTGTGATTCGTCGTCGGAACCGACATCGTCAACATCAAGTTCAAAGTCGAATTCTAGTAGAGAATGACAGCAATTAGTTGATGAATTAGTTAAAAAATAATATTAGTAACTTACCATCAGGATCGGCGACCCTACTTCTCTTAGCTTTGGGCCCATTGGGGTCCTCAGCTTCCTCAATCGCAGTCCTCTTCATAATGGAACAGGCTGCGATTGACCATGTTGTAGAGGTAAATTGTCAAGTTGCAGTTGCATGTGCTTGAACCTCCAGGACCCTTGAAAGTCAATTGAGGAAAATGTTGTGCCGAGCTGCGTATCGAGATATGATAATGATATCGATAAGAAAAACTTTTATGGGGAAATGTTCTCTAGCAGCAAAGCTACCTAGGTAGGTACGTACTTGCATCAAGCCGCCTGAAAGCAGCTGAATGAATAAAATGGTCAAAGCGCTAGTTCTAGGTAATTCTAGCTAGACGGCAGACGTGCAGTCATAACAATCCTTGGCCTCGATTCTTTTACCTATCAGCTTTTCCAAATTTTTCGCATCGCATCTGCCAAATCGCGTCTCCGTCTGCGGTTTGCCAGCCAACATCACAGCTACACTAATATTTAGGCCTACAAAGCTCTCCTTTCGAGTTTATTAAGTGATTTTCATTAATCAAAATGTCTGACTTCGGTGATGATGGGGATGTCGGTGGAGCGTAAGTTATGCTATTGGCACATACATAGCGACCGGTGCTCTAACGCGTCGCAGGGACGAGCCTATGTTCGAGGACGAAGAGCCCATAGATGATGAGCTCGACCCCGAAGTTCCCGACAATGAGGAGGATGAATTCACCCGAAGAGGCGTAGATGAGGAGGAGAACGTTGTCGTCTCGGGCGATCCATCTGCTGCCGCAAACCGAACAAAGTCTACGACAAAGTTGAACAAAGACAAAAAGATCCCTAACGAGGAGCGATCTACCACTCCATACCTGACAAAATACGAGAGAGCCCGTGTTTTAGGTACCAGAGCACTACAGATCAGGTAAAGCAGCATTGACAAAGGCCAAGACCTAGCAAACGTTAACTAGATGTTGTATAGTATGAACGCTCCTGTCCTCGTGGATTTAGAAGGAGAGTCAGATCCTCTTCAGATTGCTATCAAAGAACTACGCGAAAAGAAGATTCCTCTGATCGTCCGCCGTTATCTTCCCGATGGCTAGTACGTCTTGAATTTTCCATACCGCAAGTATAATTGGTTGGTGCTAATTATTGTACAGCTATGAGGATTGGTCCTGCGAAGAGCTGCTCCAGTAAATTGGATCCGGGTATCAGCTCCCTCGGTCTTTCGCAATCTGGATATTGAACCGACTCTAGCATCGCTTCGAACGATCCTCCAACGGATAGGGTTGACCGATAGGACTACGCGGGAAGGAATCGTCAGATGACTTAGAGAAGTTTGCACGAGCATGGAGTTAGTGGTTGCTTTTCGGAATATATCAAAATTTCCCCTAGGCATAAGACTTCTGAGTACACGGCGTCGAGGAATTAATATCTGCTCGGTTGGTTACATGGTAGCTAATTGCGTCGCATGACGGCCGTGGGCTCCGTTATCAGCTTTTCCGCAAACTACCTATCAGCCTCATCTAGAGGATATAAGCGGTGAGCAAATGTCCCATAACCACGTGCGCCGACAAGAAAAATGTTGCCAGATACGGCCGAGTTCACCGGTAACTGCCGTCAGCTGCGGATTGATTGGTAGTGTTGTTATTATAGTTATTCTAACTAATAGTCAACGAAAAACAATTGATGCATTTTATGTCCCTATTTATAGGACTTATAAATGCAACTACAATCTACCTGAGCCTATTCATTACATACATAGCAGGTAATGGCGCTTGTATTAAAAATAGGTATACGCGAGTTCATTTGGACTATTCCGAAGACTTGCTAGCTCATCCCTAGAATACTAGAGGCGAGCTTAAAATAGCGGTAAACCTTCGTATTGAATTGAATTCCGCATGAAATATCCAATGCGGTGTGACTATTCCGTATTTAATGTAAGGCTATCGAGGGTCACATCCGCTACGTCCCGCTAAACTAACAGACCAATCAGTTCAGGTAACAACATCTTACCAGCGGAGCGGACCTATGACGTCGGCTGACCGTTTAAATGGTTGAAAACTGCATGTCAGCTCGTGCAGCAATACATAGCCGCATTTTCCCTTACGTTCGGCAGGTTCGTCACTCATAAGGGTCCTAAAATTGCCCCTTTAGGACTAATAACATGACCACTGAATACGAAGTCTCGCCTTTAATTCTCTCAAGACTGTACCGTTAGAATTGTGCGACAATGTACCGCCACCATGAGTGAGCTTAGGTGTGTTGCTTGGTACATTACGTTCTATCGCATCATCTAAAGTTGTCAAGTTTATACATACTCGCGAGGATCAATAGAGCGCATCATAGCCGATTCGCTAGCTACTTAGATAGCATGATATGTAGCATGCTGCAAATTTACATGCTATCTCTTATGATAATGTATTACGAAGTGGCGTTTGGTTGATTATAACTAGGTAACATATAAGTAAACGAGACTTGGTGTTTGTCGTTAGCAAACGGGAATAAGGCGAATAAATTATAAGAACAATTTACAACTTATCCTAACTCACAATATATATCTATTATTACACACATACCTACCTCTTAATCCATATATCCCTAGATACATCAGATACAAATTCTAGGACTCGAGATTTAATCCTGCCTAAGCGAAGCTGTATTGTCGATCAATATTGCCACTACTGCAGCATTACTTCCCTTATATGTATTCCTTCCTGCCCACTTTATTCCCCGTTGTCCGTGTTGAATAGCAGGAGCAACTTCACAAACGTACAGACCGGCAGTAGCTAGGGAAACAGAAAACTCCACTTGGCACTTCCTTTGTTCACCAGCTGCAGGTCTACATTCATATATCCATCGCTCCTAACAACACGAAGACCCAAGCACGAATATCCTTTCTTACCTCACAAATTCGTCTTGCACTCCAAAATTTCTTCGCAAAAACACATCATCGCAAGATTACTCTATCCATCCGCAACAATGCAGTTCTCATCTATCATTATCAATCTCATCGCAGCTTCGACTTGCATCTCTGCCCTTCCGGCACCGCAATTGGCCAAGAGAGAAATCGGAGGCGTAAGTTCTATCCCTCGCTTCTTCTTCCCACACCGCGCAGCGCAGATTGCTAACTCGCGAATCTCCAGGTTCTGATCTGCAATGGTGCCAATGCTACGGGCACATGTCACTATGAGGTCTACTCAATGCACGATTGCCACGAGCTCCCTGACGGCCTCATCAACAACGCCAAGACGTTCGCTCCCGATGGCGATGCTTTCTACTGCTGGCCTAAGGTGTAAGTTGCAAGATATCTCTCTCCCTCCTTATTATCACGCACTTTAGCTAACTCACTATGTAGAGGCCGTTGCGATCAGATCTGCACATCGCCAACCGGTTGCACATTCGGTGCTGTCTCCTTCTACAACCCCATCAAATGGGATCTGTCGGCCATAAAGTGGGATACTTTGATCACATCCTTCGAGTGCGCGCTCAACCAAACCACGAAGGCATAGGCACAAGAAAAGACTTTTCGAAAATGTTGGCAGCCCAGCATGGCGCTAATGAAGCAGACAATCGTCTGTTGTTAATATTTCCAAGCCTGGTCTCCAACACTAATGCGAAGTTCGATTGACTTTCCCGTTTATTAATGGGTTGCCCGCGACGGAGTCTAGTCGGTATTCGGGTTCTTTTTGGAATTAGAAGCTGCCAATGACGTCGCTCAAGCGGTTTAGAATGTGGGGTAGATAAAGAAAATGGCTTGCTCCGAGACCCGTCAGCGGGGTTAGCTCTCTCTCCCCTCTTCGTCTTGACAATTCGAAACTGCCGGGGAGGAGCTTGAGGGGCACCAAAAGCACATTACATTACCGTTGATGCAGCAATCGCATCATACATGCAGTAATTCATAGGTAATTCACTATTCCGTACGCTGTACATATTAGAAGCATAATCACATCATTAGATTTAATTGACTTCACAGATCAAAAATATTCATTCCTCTTAGTTCCCTCGCCGTCTTTGACTTGCACATCTAACCCACTAAGAAGGCATCGTATATTTATATTCCAGACTCCAATATTCGTATCACACAGTGGCATTTAGACTAATCGCAAAAATGGCCTTCGAGACCAAAGCCACCATCGCCAATTTCGGCGGCAAGCTGCTCAAGCTGCAACACCAGTCCTCCAGCACAGGCACCCCTATGGACGTGAACCTATTCCTACCTCCCGCCGCAGTCTCCGGGTCTAAGGTTCCCGTGCTCATCTACCTATCCGGTCTAACTTGTACGCCTCAAAACTGCACCGAGAAGGGCTTCTTCCAAGCGCACGCCGCGCGCAAGGGCATCGCCCTGGTATGGCCCGACACCTCGCCCCGCGGCGCAAACCTACCCGGCGAGACCGAGAGCTGGGACTTCGGCGCGGGCGCGGGGTTCTACGTGGACGCGACCCAAGCGCCCTGGAGCGCGCACTACCGCATGGAATCGTACATATCGTCGGAGCTGCCGGCCGCGCTCTTCGCCGCGTTCCCCGAATCTCTCGATTCCGAGCGCGTCAGCATCACGGGCCACAGCATGGGCGGGCACGGCGCGCTGACGCTGTTCCTCAAGAACCCCGGCAAGTACCGCAGCGTAAGCGCGTTTGCGCCCATCGCGAACCCGTCCCTGTGCCCCTGGGGCGAGAAGGCGTTTTCCGGATACCTGGGCGCGGACCGCGAGGCGTGGAAGAAGCACGATGCTACGGAGCTGGTGAGGGGGTGGGCGGGGAAGGATATCAAGGCGTTGGTTGATGTGGGGACGGGGGATAACTTTTATAAGCAGGGGCAGTTGTTGCCGGAGAACTTTGAGAAGGCGGTTAAGGAGGCGGGGGTTAAGGGGTTGGAGTTGAGGTACCAGCCGGTGAGTTTTTTTTCTTTTTTTTTCTTTTGCTTCTGTGATTGTTTTATTCTTGGACGGGTTTGCGAATGGCGATAGAATTAAGCTAACTGATGTGTAGGACTACGATCACTCGTACTTCTTCATGTCGACGTTCGCCGGGGATCATGTCGAGCATGCTGCGAAGTACCTACTCTCGTAAGAGCATTTGTCCTTGGACGGCCGCAACACTCAGAATCCGATGGTAGATTGTGTATGCTTCTCTAATTTTGGACTTACCGGGTTGGGGCGATGTAAAAGGAACAGAGACTCTAGTAATAGTGGTAACGGAGAAGGCAATAACAAGAATCTAAGTTAAGCAAAGATGAAATTCACCTGTCATGAGAGCAATGAGAACTCGTAAAAATTCGGAATATATAATATATACCCTCAATATCGACTCGCTTAAAGAATTCAAAAATAATTCTTTGTTCAGATTACTTGGTATATATTGACATTTGAAGCCGCGGATATCTTCAGGCAAGAAAAAAGACAACAATTCGCTCCGAGTGCATCGCTAGGTCTGAACCACTTTAATCTTCTGCTTCTAGCTGTTCCTCTTCTCAACGGGGCTTGAGTTCTCCTTCTCAAGCTTACTCTTCATTTCTGCATCCACCTCCCGCCGTATCCGGTGGAAGGCGAGCTTCTCAAACCGGCTCATCCCCTTCCACCAGTGGTGGCCGGCTTCGTGTTCGCTGATACGCTCGACGAGCTCCGACGTCTGGATCCTAACGTCCCGGTCCTTATGGAATAGTCCGAGGGCTATGTAGAAGAGTCCCGCGTGGGACTCGGGTGCTACCGACAATAGTAGGCTGATTTCGTCATACGAGTGGACGTACTGGGCAAACGTCAAATATATTTCTTTACTCTGTGCTGGGGTTAGACGTTGAGACCGGAGTCGGTCGTGCATATGATGTAGGTCTATCCCTTTCAGGGGCCGGATAGTATATAATTTGGCGAGGTCCTAGAACTAGTGTTAGTTGGGAAGGATTGACAGTTCAATGAAGGAGGTCTCACCTGGATGTAACTATAGTAGCTTCGGGTATTTCTCCAACCCTCGATCCTACACACGTTACCAGCAAGCTCCTTCTGCTTGGCAGCCTCGTCCGCCCATACGTACCCATGTCCGCCCGTAAGAGTTTCGAACTCGTCGCCTCCGATATAAAGGGCACTAGCCCCATACACCGTTTCTTCGAAGGCTGCGGCTATCCGAGTAAATCTGACGACCCAGTCTCTCCACTTAGCTCGAATGACTTGTTCTCCACGTCTCGCTGTTATGCTCTTGAGTATGTCATTCATGAATACTACATCTCCGGTAAAGTCCGTGGCTGCTGTATTAGATGAGCCGCTAAGCATGTTCGCAAAGGACGGGTTCTGCTGTTGGAAGTATACAAGTCCTTCGGTGATTTGCGCAGGTTCAATCTTCTCGCTAATCTTCATCCGTCCTGTCTGGAGATCGCATAGAAGATCCCACCATTCGGGGTGCAGCTCAAAAGTCGGGTTCGTAACTCCAGCAATAAAGCCAGGAACCTTCAGCAAATCGTCAACCTTGGTAAGGTCTGTGTAAGGGAACGCATGTCTAGTGAATCCCCGCAGAAGACCGCCAGACGCAAGGGCGCATGCCGCCAGGACAGCCTCTGCAACCTCTCCTGACGGCATATTATGTCCAACAAAAATTATCCTCTTCTGCGTCAGAAGTGCATTAGCAAGTACTATTATAGGATGGGTTCCTGGGCCGTTCGTAGTTAGGTGAGTATGTATAGAAAATTGTTGTGTCGACTTTGCATGCGGCTCTGAAAAGGTCTGGATGAGTTTTATGAGTGAAAAATCCCCAACTGTTTCCGGCATGATTGCTGTTGGAACCTTGACGGGGATAGGAATGCCCTTATACATGACCTTGCTCTCGAATTCGTGAGTGTCTCGTGGAACTGAGTACGCGGATTGGCCTTCGAGATGAGCTTTCGTCCCAGCTCGAGATATGCCCTGTAGCTTAGGAGGACTCCTACTTGCGTCGAATGGCTCACCAACCCCCTCGGCTTTGTCCTGAACGATTTGCCTCTGTATCATTCGTTCAAACTTTTCGACGAATAGATCTTGATTACTGCTAGCCTGCAAGAGGTATCTCTCAAGCAAGTTGAGCTTTGGCATTAAGGACAGATCCATATTATTGACGGCTTCATAGAGCAACGCCAGCGTCTCCGGGACAGGAGATTTATAATATTCTTCAAGCGCAAGCAATAGGAGAGGCTATCACAGTTAGAGACGTAGAACGGGATGACACAAGGGGCACTATAGCTAACCTTATATATGTGTAGAAAGGGGTGCCGTGTACATATAGCCATCGCTTTGACTACAGCGCCTCTCTTCACGCTTTTGTCGTGTCTCGTGTAAACCAAGTTTAATACGTATATTAATGGGGGACCCTCTCCTCCTTCAGGTTCCGAGTCGGTCGATTCATCATCGTCCCAGTCATCATCTTCCTCATCTTCGTCTTGCTCGTCATTCGTATCGTCATCTCCGTTTATGATCCCAGCGGCCCTGTCCTTTTTTAGTTTCCTCCTCTTCCGTCGTTCTGCCTTGTCTTTTTTCTCTTCGTCATCATCCTCTTGGGTCGTGTCCTTATGCAAGAAAAAGATAGTCCAATCTTGTGTACGCGAATGGACTTGGTCTGGTAACATAAGCTCTGCTAACATGTTTTCATCACCGGTTATCGCGACAGGGTACTGGTGCTCCATGACAGGACCCCGGTCGATGTCAAAGGAGGCAACCAAGATATACTCGACATGGTTCTCGGAAGACTCGCGAGGATACTGGGAACGTAGTTTCCTAGGAGATTGACCATTAGGATTAGGCCGCCTTGGCGGTGAGAGAGAAGAATGTTGCGAAGATTCGGCAGTCTGGCTCCCAAGAGATGAAGTCTTGGATTTCGAACTGGGATCCGACGTGCGGTCGTTGTTTACCACTGGAGGCTGGGGGGATCGTGGAGGGCGCGAGTGATGAGACATCTGCGAGGGCGAGCGCGACGACAGAAAGGACGAAAGCGACGTGCGATGGTTATGGTTCCCGCTACCGCCATTGGAAAGAGATTGGCTCGTATTTGTTCGCGAAAGATGGGGGAACGCCATTTGAGTTGATACAATTAGCAGTCGGTTATTCTCATTTGGTATGATCGTCGCGGTTGACGAGTCCGCCGCTCGGGTGGACTGCTCGAGCGTTGATCCCCGCGGTCACGACTGGGTCGCCTTAGTTCCTTTAACCGACAATACTAGAGGTCTAAACCTCAATGCGTCGCCAAAGTATATACCAGCTTCACGACTTCGTCTCGCGACTGTGTTCAAGTCAAATTGAGGCTGAGTGCGATTCGTTGACCCGTTGCGGGGATTTTTCGATCAGCGCCGCTTTGCCATTCGCAACTCAGGGGTCGTCGTGGGTATATGGGTATATGGGTATCTTGATATCTCGATTGGCCGTATCACCGACCAAAATCAAAAATCGGGCTAGAAGTTGAACAATGCCAGCGATAAGAGAAACAGAAAATTGGAGTCAGAGAAAGCAACGGCCGAGACATGATCTGCTACATAGCCATCTCTTCGGAATTGTTCGAACTTAAAAAGGTAGTATTTCACCCTGAGCAGGGGGGAAGATGTGGGAAGAAAAGGTACCGTACGAGACGAAAGCGAAAGACGTTTCGTATCAAACCAGACCCTTGACCTTTGGGATTTGGTAGGACCCTTGTAGCCATCATTATGACCAATGGTTAGCTCAGATAGACCCTAGAAACTTTGGGGGTGTTAGGGGTGCTAGGGGGGGGGCTAGTTCCTGTCTCCTCTTTTTAGCGTCTTTTCTTTAGCGCTAAAACGTAGCAAAAAGGCGCTCTATCAGTTTACTTATGCCGCTTATGGCTTTCCACTCCCCCCCAAAATGGCCCTTAACCCCACCAACAGCGACCATTTTACCACTTCCATCACCGATTCAGATCCATCATGGACCGATTAACTACAAAGTACATACATCATCTATGGACATGTACGACATCGATTCTCCATTTTCGCAACCGGCCGGCGCCTCGTTTACTACAAGAGGCAAGCTAAGAAAGGCCACAACCTTATCTAAATCTACCTACGTCAAGGATCATCCGTGCAACTCGTCTTCCGGATAACTCTATTTCTTTACTGCAACTCTCCTAATTCACTACCTAACGTACCTAGTATCCTACAATATTGCGAACTAGATTGCGCCCGACTATGTTCAGCGGGCTAGGCTTAAGCCAAATGTATCACCATGCTATTTATTGTTCAATAACAACGGGCGGAAGCCACATATATCTGCATGTGTTCTGCATGAGCTTATGCTAGATGCCCAATTAGATGCAGCCACCCGCATCTACTATTGCCAAGCTTCCACATTTTGGCCGGGTGGTCCGACGTAGAGAAAGGACTATCTAGAGGATCTATATTACAGTCATCGGGCCAGAAATAAAAAGAAAGGATTGGGCCGAATGTACTACTTCTGGGGAATTGGGTCTATTAAGGGGGTGGGTGAGCAGATGACGGGTTGGACTTCGGTAGGTAGATTTCCTCATCGTTCTACTAAATTTAAGTGACATATGAAAAGTCCTTACCAACTATTTATGTCGTACTTGTTGTAGTATATAGCATACTACTTGTCCTATTAATTTACCATAAGGTAAAATGATATATGTTAAGTTGTATCGAAATAGAATATTTAAATATAATAGTTTTATATTCACTGCTACTTGACATATGGTTTGCTACAAGAGAATCTACGGGACATTCGCAATGTTACGATGGAAACCCATCCTCCTTTAGGGCGATATTAATAATAAATGTATGGCGTATCTGCTGCAATGACAAGATTGGGAACATGAAGTCTATTTATATAGCTTACCAAGAGTCTCAATACTTTAAAATATGATTCAACTCCCCTTCGCTTACAATCAGAACATGGACTCTAATTAGTTTTGATTCTAGTTACATATCCTATAAATTATAAACCAGATACACCCGCTTAAGCATACTAGACGTTTGAAGACGTACACTTAGTGCATAATCATAGTTGTTAACTTAAGTCAACTAAGAAGACAATGACTACGGATGGCCTGCGTCCATTGGCTGCTTATTTGGAAACCACTGAAGAACTAATATGATTCACTAGTAGAAATTATCCCTGTGCTTAAATGTTACCTATAATATAACCTATAATATATATACTTCATGCAAGTATCAGAGGCTTGTGTCTCCATATGAGAGTACGAGACTAATGGTTAAGTAGATAAATGAAAATTATGCAGCTTCTATTTTGTCAGTATCCAGGTACTTACTGCTATTACGAAGTCCTTGTAGCCAACACTATGCCACCATGATATATTTTATAAAAATGATAGCAATGGTAAACTGAGCATATAGAATTAGGCATATTGATAGTAGTTGCTTCTAACGCTCTGTGGTCAGTTTCTCTCTTCTTACGCCCAGTCACGGTTTGATTATTGATTAGAAGTAGAATTGATAAGACTTTGAAAAATTTAAAGGGTATTAGAGAAGATCTATCGTTAGCTACATCCTAGGTACCTATGTAGGCCTTTAGCTTCAATATTGGAGAGTACATATATATATTAAGCAACCACGGCTCTAAATAGAGAATGCCCGCACCTTAATCCTCAGCACAACTCGTCGGTGAAGCCTTAACATATAGAAAAATGGGTATAAGAAGTACGAGGCCTAAATTATAGTTGAAAGGACTTATACGAATTATTGAGCAATGGAGTTGGGTTTTGTAAGTTGAGTCGCGTGCATGAATCTAGTACATACCAAATCCAGTAAGTGGGTTGTGCGTTGCCCCGCAACGATCTGGCATACAGGTACAACGATACAACAAATGTTCGAGATGCGACGCGCACCTAGGCGAAACTCAAAACTCAATACTCAATACAATATCATTCATGCATTAAACCCTCTACGATAGTTCACCAAGTCCAATTCGAGAAGCAATTTTGTCATTTTGAAGCTTGTTATTCAGCACGCCTCTAAGAATACTTTCTGCTTTGTTTACTTATCAAGATTGTAGCACGGCCCTGGGAAATCGGTGACAATGGTGAGTAATAGAAACCCACTTGACAGCGGAGCTCCCTGCATCGATCGCCTCTCCTTGGTTTGTGATAGATTGGTTCAAATACTTATACCAAATACATAGGCTACACCAGCGGGTTACAAGCCATCGCCTCTCGGATACGGTTCTCCTCGAAGCTCCCCTTTCCGACGACCAGAATCTCCCGCGTCACCCTCATCAATTAAATATACGACACCGACACCGTCGCCTTCAAAACCCAGCGGCGTGCATACACCTTCTAGATTTGCTGCTACAGTAGAATCACCTACCAGCTCGGACGGATTGACTCCTCGTGGATACGGTCAAACAAACGATATGCCATTCACACAATCTCTCGCTTCTCCCGCACATATATCGTCACGGACTCAACCGTCACTGCATTCTACGGCTCAGGGGAATGCACTTTCTCAATTACAGCCGGCACAGCTCCGAGTACTAAGGGATGTATTCCAGATCCTGGATAGAGACAGCGATGGTGTCGTGAATAGGGAGGATGTTGTAGACATGCTTAATCAGCTCGGTATGCTGCATATCTCGAACCCTAGGCCGTTGGATATCAACACTAACATAGACGAACTTAAAGGACTGCCATCTAGCAAATCCGACGTCTCGCAATTCTTCCCCTCAGCCGGCCCGCAAACGACGACCCTTGCGGTATTCCTCAACTCGATAGCTACGACACTGGCCGCGATGTCGCCGAGTACAGAATTACTGTCAGCGTTCTCCGCCTTCGATGACGACGATAGCGGTCAAGTTGACTTCACTGAGCTGCGTGATGCTCTGTTACACACGGCGCCGGAACCAGGAGAGAGAGCATTGACAGCGACTGAGGTGGACAAGATCATGCTCGGATTTAGTGCCAGAAGAGCTTTCAGTAAGAGTATGGCCGGCGGACTGAGCAAACGCGGTGAAGTATTCAAGTATCAAGAGTTCGTGAACTCCATCGTAGGTGGTAATGGATCGTCAGAGCCGAGTTCTCATGAGGCCTCTGAAGAGTGAAGTTTGAAAAAACTTGATGAGAAGACCTAATTCTTGTACTATGTGCTGGAGTATGGGACGGATCGGGGTATTAGTCAGGGCTTCGTGAATAAGCATTTCTTGAGTGCTAGTGTAAGGAGTTCTAGGCGGATGAACATGGCTATAACAGTTACTGTAATTACGTTGCGTTTTTAATACGAAGTCCTTTCGTATTCGGGGGCCTACAAGGTACTAGGTTAGGGAGGTTAGAGGTTCCATTGAGACTAGACCTTAATGTATTTCAGAGTGGTTGAGTTACCTGAAATAAAAATCGTTATATATTAGAAAGTTGTAAGTAGTCCACGCGATTGGGGTTTTATAAAGTACATATGTAAGTTGGATTTGGAAATATCGAAGGAATGAGCGAGTATAAAACCGTAATATCATGGCTACGCTACCTAAGGAGCCCTAGGCAGAGACCTTACTAAATTTGGACCGGGGACATGGTTTACAATATCCGAATTCTGGATAGAGTTTGACATGTTGTACTGTCGAACCAACTACTACATGTAACTACCAACTACCTGGGTGGCACGAGATCATTTCGTTCTTATATTTGGTAGATCATGTGCTACGTGAGGATCGCAACAGATTAATTGTACTTTGACTGACAAGGTCTGATATCGTTTGCTGTACTATGTAGCACAAACATAACGTTATCAATATCTAGACCAGCCTCGCGATAAAACTACGTGCTCTGATTGGCGTCGTCTAATTAGAAAATTATAGTCAATTAGAGTAAGAAGCGTTTACAACGGATTGAGACCCACCCGATTATCCCATGGGCCGCGGAGGCCGCTAGGACAACCTATTACATAGGACACGTGAATTATCTTAACCTTGTCCCTGCATAAACTAGGTT